CTTTGTTCTCTGGAATTAAAGTTGAACTAGCTCCCAGAAGTGGTGTGTGATCCCTGTACAGTGCTCCCTAGCCTTTTCAGGCTTGCTTCTCATCTTGTGCCCTTCCTGACTCCGTGGGCTGCTGGAGGTCAGCCCCCAGGCAGGAGGAGAACAACACTCTACTGAAAGTTTTACCTCTAGCTCTGTTTTTACTTTTTTGAGTCGGGGTCTGCTGTAGCTAAAGCTTGCCTTCAATATACAATAGTCATGCTGCCTCTTCCCTTCACATGCTAGGATTACATGTGTGTTTCTTTGCCTGGTTTGGTACTTGAGATCTTACTAGAATAGAATGCCATTCATAGTCCCTACACTTGTGAATGCAGGTGGTAGGCATATTCTGAAATACGAAGCGTCAGAGGTGAAGGAAGGGTTCTGTGGAACAATGACACTTAGGCAGATGGCCAAAAGAGAATTGAAGTTAAGTTGGGGAAGAGGTAAGAATCACTATTAGATAAACAGGTTTGTAAAGGTCTTCTGACAGAGGGGTCAGAAGAATATATAACTAGTGTGTGAGAAGTCTAAGAAGGCCACAGTGAGTAGAGTGAGGGGACTATGCTACAAAGAAAGATATCAGGAAATGAGTGTGGCTAGCACATGAGTGGCCTTGGAATATATGGAAAGCTTTGTAAGCCAAGAGACAAGTCATTTGCACCTTCAAAAACAAGATGTGTCCTTTGCAGAAAAAACTTCTTGTGTTAGAAAAACAAAACAAAACAAAACTGAAGAGATAGTTCAGTGGTTAAGAGCCCTTGCTGTTGTAGCAGAGTGGCCAGCACCCACACTGGGCAACTCAGGAACACCTGTTACATCTTCTAGGGAACCCAAGCTCCTTTTTGGTCTTACCACATCCTTTTCTGGCTCTGGAGGGCACCACCACACATAATTAAAAATTAAATAAAATATTTAAAAAATAATTTTACAACTGCTAGGCCCAGCATGAGCCTAAATATAAGAAGGTATGAAGAGGGCTGGAGAGATGTCTCAGTGGTTAAGAGCACTGTCTGCTCTTTCAAAGGTCATGAGTTCAATTCCCTGCAACCACATGGTGGCTCACAACCATCTATAATGTGAACTGATTCCCTCTTCTGGTAGGTGTAAATGCAGATAGAACACTCATATACATAAAATAAATAAATCTTAAAAAAAAAAAAAAAGAAGGTATGAAGAGAACCCAGGAAACTAATCATCAGTGCAAATTTGCAAGAGGTTTGTTTATTTCGACCATTGCGCAATGGGGTCACCCCTGCTGGTCAGCAAGGAGTGGCACCGGGAGACAAAGACCTTGGGTTTTTAAAAGACAAGGTGTGGGGAATTCTAGGGGTTGCCTTCTTGGCAATTCATGATTGGATGAGGTATTTAACTTTAAAAATAATTGGCTGGTTCTGGGCACCCTTAGGTCTGGTCAGCCCTGTCGTAATATCTGATCTTCAAGTCAGTTTGGAATTTCCTGCCATATGAGATATAGCCACAGTTAAAGGTGGGAGAGTGATTAACTGATCCCGTGTCTGTTCTGAGGAGTGGGGGGTTACAGACTTTGGATCAAAGGTCAGGAGCTATTCAGGAGAAGGATTGGGGCCATTTGGCCCAGTTTCCAAACAAAGCTCATCTCACAGGGGCCAGCCGGTGATTTTCTCTCCATTTAGTAGAGATCTCTGCTTGTTCTCTTCCTTATCTTTGCCCTCACAGATGGCTCATGTCAGGAACTTTTACATTCCTCGGTTCTCTGGAGAAGCACTGAGAGGCTTTAATTAACATGGGCCTAAAACTTGAAAATATAAGTTATAAGGCAATTAAAAAAACATAGGTTACAAAGTTAGTCTGATTCTTTCAACAACTAGTGCTTTTTTTTCTTTTTTGTAGGCAGTATCTCACACAAGTGTGGCCATAGCTGGCATTCAATCAGGGCAATTCTTGGCCTCCCAAGTGTGCCATCAAGCCCAATTGTACTTCTGGTACTTTGATCACAGGATGGTATTTATTAGAGGCCACCCTGGGCATTTTGCACATTCCTTTAATCACAGCACTAGGCAGATTTTTCTGAAATCAAGGCCTGGTCTACATAAGAGTTCCAGTCTAGCGCAGGACACAGTGAGATCCTGTCTTAAAAGCAAGTAACAGACAAACACAGGTCAGACTTGGTGGTATTCTCTTGCAATCCCAGCATTCAGAAGGCAGAGGCATTTAGATCAGTTAAATTTGAAGCCAGCCTAGGCTACATAGCAAGTTTTAGGCCAGCTACATCGGGAAACACTGTCTCAAATAACAACAGAACTTTTTTCCCCTTTTATTTAAGAGTGTGTAATTCGGGGTGGTGCGGATTTAGCTCAATGGTATAGCAAGCGCAAGGCTCTGGGTTCAGTCCTCAGCTCTGGGGGAAGGGGTGGAAGTGTGCAATTCAAAATAGTGTGCAGTCCTTGATCTGCCATTAAAAGAAAACACCCCCCCACACACACACACGTATGTTTTGGTCCCTTCCTCACGAAAGGGCTGGCACGGAGAGGCCTGCGCCCCCGGGGAGGCGCGCTCCCGGGCGGCGGGTCCGCGTGTCACCCTCGGAGGCGCGTGCGAGCGCGCGCGCGCGCGGACGCGGGCGTCAGCGGGCGGGGCTGGAGGTAGCCGTGCGTCGATTGGCTGTTGGGCGATCGTATGCTAATGACGGTGCCAGGTTGCGGGTCTTGGCACACCGTAGCGACTCGAAGTGCCCGGTGGACGTGGTAGCGAGAGGGTTTGTTCGGGGACGTCGGCACTGCGCTGGGGGCCGACGCTGCGTGCGGTGGCGGCGGCGAGAGGGAAGGCGCGGGGCCGCCGGCGTAAGTCGCCGTGAGCTAGAAGTGCTGTGTGTTGGTGCAGTGCGGCGATCGGCGCGGCGTGGAGTCAAGACTATACTTTCAGGGATCATTTCTATAGTTCGTTACTAGAGAAGTTTCTCTGACTGTGTAGAGCACCCGAGCCCACGAGGACGAGACGTAGCGTTCCCTCCTGAGCGTGAAGCCGGCTCTAGGTGCTGCTTGTCTGCAGCTGCCTCTTGCCATTGATGATCGTTCTTCTCTCCCTCGGGAGAGTGAGAGGGAGGGAGCGCAGTCTGAGTGGACTCGGCCTTTTTACCACGGTGCCTAAAGTTAGCAAGCGACTTGTCACTTCCTTCTGGGAGGTTCTTTGCGCCCAGTCCTGCTGTATTCTTGGCTTTTATGTTGTGTGGATTTTTTTCTCCTTTGCAACTTCTGCTCACAAGACGGCATTTGACCTGTAGCTCTGGCTGCTTCGGAAGCATTGTGTTTTTTGTCTTGCATTGGGCAAAGCGTGTGCACGTTGTATCTGTACACTGCAGATTATGTGTGTCCTGTGGGACAGGAAAGACAGCGATCTTTATTGAAGATGTAGCCAGTTACTTGGAGAGCTGTTAGTTGGTCACTCATCCATTGACAATTTCTATGATTAAGTGCTATGTTAAGCGTGTTCTGGAAATAAGGTTAATAGTTCCAAACCTCTTCACCGTTTTAGTAAAATTTACAGGAAGAATATTTTGCTGCCATATTTGAGAATACAAAGGGTGTTTGACTTTCATTATTCTTTCTCTTGTCATTCTTGACAAGAATAGATCAGATTATAAATACATTTGACATCATGCCTGGTTTGTCTTTATTAATTGATGTTATGCAAAGTAATTGTTTTCATTATGACGTTGTTACATTATGGCATTGCCACTAGGGCTGGGGATTTGGCACAAAGCCATTACATACAGAAAACTAGTGTGGCGGGCCTCCCCTGTAATCTTAGCACTTGGAAAGTAAAAGCCCAAGGATCAGGAGTTCAAAGTCATTCGCACCTACATGTAGTGAATTAAAGGCAGGCCTAGGCTTTTAAAAAATGACCATAAGCTGGTCTGGAGATGCATCTCAGTAGCAGAGCACTGATGGTGAAGACCCCTGGGTTCAAAAGCCTCAGCACTTAAAAAGCCTTAGTGAGAGGCATCTAAACTCCCAGCGTTAAAGAAACTGAGGAGAGAGGGTCACTTGAATCCTAATATGTAGACCAAGCTAGTCTAGAACTTGCAGAGATCCTCCTGCCTATGAAAGGTTCTCAATTCTCACTTCTAGTTACTTTGTAGATTGAGGCAGGAGAATCTTAAATTCTAGGCCATCCTGGACACATAAACACATATATATTTATTATGTACACAGTATTCTGCTTGCATGTACACCTGGACTCTAGAAGAGGGCACCAGATCTCACTATAGATGGTTATAAGCCACCAAGTGGTTACTGGGAATCGAACTCAAAACCTCTGGAAGAGCAGCCAGTGCTCTTAACCTCTGAGACATCTCTCCAGCCACCCCCATGTCTTTTTTTGTTTTTTAATGCTTTATTTTATTTTATGCCTGCATTTATGTCTGTGTACCATGTGGATGCAGTCCCTTACGAGGCCAGAAGGGTTGATACCCACTGGAAAAGCAGGCAGTTAACCACTAAGCCATCCCTCTAGCCCTCTTAATGCTTAAATTACTTAACTAAAATTAATTAAGCAAATTAATTTAATTTATTTAAATAAAATTAATTAAATAATTACTTACGGAAATTATGTAAATAAGAGGAAAATCAGGGATTTCTCCCAATGCAATGTGTGACACAGGCCTGTATGTAATTCCAGTACTTGGGAGATGGAAGCAGGTAGATCAGGAGTTTGCGGTTGGTCTGGACCATGAGAGTTCTGTTTCAGAAGTCAAAAGCACATGGGCAGAAAGTTGAGAGTTTGGTTCCTAGGTCAGCCTCCTGTAACTCCAGCTCCTGGGAATGGGGTGTCGTCTTCTGGCCTCCTCATGCACCTACCCACCTACCCACATATACAGTGTGTAGTTTTTTCAAAATCTAAAAACACAAAAACAATTTCCCCCAGTATTTCACTAGTTTCACCGGTTCCATCGAAGGGTGATGATATTTACACTTGTCCGTTTTGCTTTCTAGGAATCTGTATAGATGCAGTTAACAGTCTGGGCCAGTCAGCACTTTTTGTTGCAGCATTATTGGGCCATGTAAAGTCAGTTGATGCTCTGGTGGAGTATGGCTCAGATCCAAATCAGTAAGTACAATGATATCAGCCTCTAAAAACGGAATATGCTTAAAAATTCTTTTTCTTGCATCTCGTGCTTTGTGAAATTCACTGCTTATCCCTGGCTGTCCCTGAACACCTCCTCTCAGCCTTCAGAGTGCTGGGGTTACAGATGCCAGTTACTATGCCAGGCTCTAGAAGGGTGCTAGTTTAAAAAATGTTTTTTACATTTTATTCTCAAGTGTGTCAGTGTACATGTGAGTGTAGATTAGAGGACACCTCGGGAGACTCACTTCTCTTCCTCTACCGTGTTGGACCTGGGAGTGGGCTGTCAAACTCAAGTGGTCAAGCTTAGGAGCAAATTACCTGTTGAGCCATCTTTCTAGGCTGACTGTCTGCAAACAGCATCTGGTATAGCTGAGGCTGGGCTAGAATCTCTACTCTTCCAGAGCTTTGGAATTATAGACATTTGTTTTCAAAAAGTTATGTTCAATTTCTTAATTTTATCAGGTTTCATTAAGTTCTTTTTTTAAAAGATTTATTTATTATTTATAGTAGTATTCTGCCTACATGTGTGCCTGCACGCCAGAAGAAGGCACCAGATTTCACTGTAGATGGTTGTGAGCCACCATGTGGTTGCTGGGAATTGAACTCAGGACCTTTGGAAGAACAGCCTGTGCTCTTAACCTCTGAGCCATCTCTCCAGCCCCTCATTAATTTCATAGAACTAGTTGCAATTAAATTTTAATTAAGTATTTATGGAATGCTTTTCACATTATAATATTGTTGACATTTTCAGTTTTTTCCCTCTTTTTTTGAGTTAAGTTCCCTCTATATATAACTCCTTGCTGTCCTGGAACTTGCCATGTTACTGAGCTTCTGCCTCCCAATGCTGGGACTGAAGATGTGTGCTACCATATCCAGCTCATTTTCAGGGTCCTTAAGGCTTTTTAAGGAAGATGGGCATGGTGATGCATGCCTGTAATCCCAGTACTTGGGAGGCAGAGGCAGGTGGCTGTTGTGAGTTGGAGGGCAGCCTAGTCTACAAATAGAGTCTAGGACAGCCAAGGATACACAGAGAAACACTGTCTCCATAACCCCTGTCCAAAAACAAACACACCAAAAAACCTTTGTAAGGAGACACTTCTGCTGCAGCTTGTTAAAATCGGCAGAAACACTGTTTTCTTTTCTTTGTGTTTTTTTGTTTGTTTGGTTGGTTTTTGAGGCAGGGCCCCACGGTGTAACCCCAGCTAGCCTAGATGCTGCAGTGCTGGAATAAAAAGCATGCACTACTGTGTGTGGCCAGATTTCTTTTTAGGTGAGAGGGTTGAGCCTAATCTTTAAGGTATACTTCTATCCTTTGTTTGATAAAAATATTAAAAAGAAGAACCTTGAGTAATTTTTATCAGTAAATCGTTATATACCTATCTTGAAATGTTTTAACTAATAAAATTGTTTTTTTTAAGCAATTGTTTTAGTCTATGAAATAATTATGTGAGAATATATGAAATAATTATGTGAGAATAATGAGTCATTACTAGTAACTATCACTGTTGGCCTATCTCTATTTCCTGGTTTATAATTTATATTATGTACTCCATTTGCTCAAACAGTTCAAAATACCCACAAACGTGTACTTCATATCAGTTTTTCAGAAAGTGACTTTTGCCTGACTTTTATAGTTGGGAATGAAAAGAATTTCAGTTTAATATTTGGTACAAATTTTAATATGGAAGAACAGCAATGTAATGAATTAGTAGCATGTGAATGTCCCTTTATGAAGCACTTGTCTCTTTCTAGGTTTAACACTTTCTCACCTGAGCTATAATTTTTGACAGGGAATAAACTAGGTACTTTCATGGTTCTCACAGCAAGTTCCAGGATAGCCAGGGCTAAATAGAGAAACCCTGTTTCAAGGAGGAGGGAGGAGAAGAAGAAAATGAAGAAATCTTTTAAAGATGTATTTATAAATCCATGAACATGTAAAATAACTTGAATGTTTTGTGGTTCCTTGTACTGACTAGGTAAGTGTCTATCATGGAGTCCCAGCTCCAAAAAAGACAAAGAAACAGAAGATGTTCAGATACATAAGAAGTGTATTAACTAGGGAAGCCTGGGAGTAAAACTTGTAAGTCATTACAGCCCCAAGGGCCAAAACCCTAAAAATAATCTTAGTAGAAGAAAAGCATCCCGTCAAACCTTACTTTAATACTGCTAAACTAAACAGCAGTTAGAGTGAAACAAGGTAAAGTGGTCACTCAGCTTTCTTACCACTTGTAGGAAGAATAATTAGAACAAATAGATTTGATTAGGAATAAGCATTACACAGAACCACTGATGACACCCAGATTCCTGGGCTTCTACAGCCTCATTAGCATCACTCGAGGAACTTATAAGCACACATTCATAGGACCCACATTTGCAGATTCTGACTTGTCAGTTCAGGTTAGTCTAAATGATTTTTTAAGAAGATTTTATGTGTATGCCACATGTAAACTGTAGTTACAAGATATCCAATGTGGGTTCTAGGAACTGAATCCAGGTCCTCCAGAAGAGCAGCAAATATTCATAACTGTTGAGCCGTCTTCAACCCTCCCTCCCCCGTGTGCATGGTGCGCTCGCCCGTGTGTGAATGTGTGTTTGCGCACAAGCTGTTTTGAGGTAGGGTCTTCATAGACCGACTTTGAACTCATGACTTTCCTGCCTCCACCTTTCAAGTGCTGGAGTTTTGGGTGTATGTCACACTGTTGCTGTACTTCTAAGACTTAAATTTTGATAGACATCTCAATGCCTCATTAATTAAATTATATTGGAATTCTATATAGATGTTGGAAAGAAATGTCCAGTAGCTTGTATTTTCTCATGTGGAAGTTTCCCAACATAAGTAGAATGGTTTGTATAACAAACACATATAAACATTCTCTTTTTTGTTGTTTGGTTTTTCAAGATGGGGTTTCTCTGTGTAGCCCTGGCTGTCCTGGACTCGCTTTTGTAGACCAGGCTGGCCTCGAACTCAGAGAGATTCACCTGCCTCTGTGTGCCACTACGCTCGGCTTAATTTTTTTTTTTCAATTTTATGAATGTATTGCCTGTCGCTTTCATGCCTAGTGCCTGTGGCAGCTAGAAAATGTCAGTTCCTCCTGAAACTGTAGTTCTAGATGGTTGTTAGTTACTATGTGAGTACTGGGAATTGAACCCAAATTCTCTGTAGGATCAACATGCATTCTTAACTACTGAGCCATCTCTTCAGCCTCAAATGACATATTTTATTCAGATGTGTGTACACAGAGAAAATTTCTAGAAGAATACAGAACTTGTAATTGCTTCTGAGAAAGGAAAAGGAAACAAGTTGGAAGGTGTTTTTTTTTTTTTTCTGTTAATTTGTTTTGTTTTTGTTTTTTTTGAGACAGGGTTTCTCTATATAGTCTTGGCTGTCCTGGCTTTAGTAGACCAGGTTGGCCTCGAACTCCGAGATCTACCTGCCTCTATCTCCCTATTAGAAACCATGGCTCTGTCTCTCCATTGCACCTTCATCTTGTCATGAGCACAGTGACAGCTGTCTTTCATGCCTTCATTAGTTTTTGGTGCTGGTACAGTTTTGAGGAGCACATCCTTGGCTGGATTGGTGATGCCAAAGTTCTCTTGGACTCTGCTGCTGAACTTGTGTGGCTAGCAGAACACTTGTCCTAACCAGCCTGAACCGAGATAGTGTAGACATGAAGGAAAGATTTCAGTCAAGCCGTTCCCAGGGGCAGTAGGGAAAGAACACAGGTTCAGATCCCTACATGGCTGTTGTTGTAAATTTTAAAAATATGATTGTTGAGCTATAATTTGTTTATTATTAACCCTGTGATTATTGTGGTGTTATTATCTAATCTGCTATCACAAATAATGAGACACAGACACCTGTTAGAGTTTATAATTGCCTTATTTACCTTGGTCCGGGCAGATATTTCTACCTCACCATTCACCTCTCAGCCTCCATCCAGTGCCATCGCCTTAATCGTCTTTATCTAAACTATCTTCTATCTATAATCTTATAAATACTTGCTTATATTCTTCATCTGGATCTTTTCTCCATCCACGCCATCCTCGGAGTCCTTCCTCCTTGCCCATGTGGCTTTTTTTTTCTCCACACTAACCCATAGTGGTGTTCTCCTTCCTCCTCTCTTCCTATCCTTCTGTTGTCTGTGATTCTCTCTTGAACCCAAAAGCTCAGGAACCTTAGCCACACCTACTCTGTTATGCCCTGCCCAGGTATAGGCCGTTTAATCAAGCGATCATGCTTGTCTTGGGCAGGGTTACAAAACAAGGGTAAGCAGTAACCAGATCTTGGGGGCCAGTAATGTGCGCCAGACCTCAGGCCAGTCTCCGCACTTGATTGTGAAGCCCTTTTGATTCCTCATCTTTTTACAAGGTTGAGATGAAGGGACTTCATCTCAAGAGCTTGTGTGAAGAGCTTGCTGTCACAGTTAGGTATTCTCACAAACAATATTGTACCCTTCACCCCTAAAATCTGTGTTAGTGACTGGAAGACCTTGTAACACTAAGTTCTCCTCAGTGAAAGGAAGAAGGTTGTCATGGACACTCACTGTATTTCTTTGTCCCTAGTCGCTGTTTTGATGGGAGCACTCCTGTTCATGCAGCAGCTTTCTCAGGCAGCCAGTGGATCCTCAGTAAACTGCTGGATGCAGGGGGTGACCTGCGACTCCATGATGACAAGGGTCGAAACCCTCAGGACTGGGCCTTGGCAGCAGGGAAGGATCGTAGCGCTCAGGTAAGAGTGGGCCTCCTTATCTAGCCATGTCCAGTAGGAGAATGTGGACCAAGAATCAGGATCCCTGGGAGCAGAACAAACTTTATAGTAGCCTTAGCATTGAAATTGGACAGAGACCTGATTTGAAGCAAGTTAGGTGCTTGTGATGGCCAGAGATAGATGTGATGTCAGGTGTCTTTGCTTAGTCACTCAACATCAGTTTTTTAAAGGATTGATTTATTTGCATTGGTGGTTTTTGCCTGTATTTATGTCTGTGTGAGGATGCCAGGTCTTGTGAAACTAGAGTAACAGGCAGTTATGAGCTGCCATATAGGTGTTGGGAATTAAACCCCAGGTCCTCTGGAAGAGAAGCCAGTGCTCTTAACCGGTGAGCTATCTCTGTTTTTTTTTTTTTTTTTTCCCTTATTTTTATTGTCTATTGTGTGTTTATGATGTGTGTGCATGCCTTGGTGTGAATGTGGAGATCAGAGGACAACTTTCAGAATTGGTTCTGCAATGTGGGTGCTGGAAATCAAATCTAGGTTCTCTGGAAGTGTAAGCAGGAAGTACTTTTAATCACTTAGCCATTTCTTTAGCCCCTTCATCTTTATTTTTTGAGACAGGATCTTTCACTGAACCAGGCTGGTAGGCCTGACCAAAGAGCTTCTACAGTCTCACTGACTCCCATCCCCTGATGCCTTCCACCCCCAACACCGGAGCTACAAGCATGTGCCACACTGCCCAGCTTTTTATGTGGGTTCTGGGAATCTGAACTCAGGTCCTCATCCTTAACATGGCATATACTTTAACAACTAAGCCACCTCCTTAGTCCTGTGATATGTTTAAATGAGGACTAAACATGGCACACAAAACAAAACAGCATGCCAAGTGCCAGAGCTTCTAAGTGTAGTCCCTGTCTCCTTGCCTCTGGTTTTCATTCCACTGTCCCGGCTTTCTCATCCACTGAAGGAAGAATTGGAGGAAATGGGTTGACAGGTTCTCTCCATGTAAACATTCCATGTCTAGAACAATCACCTTGGTTTTTGGTTTTTTTCCTTCTCAGCAATTTTCCTGTTGAGAGCTTTCAGCTACTCAAACCATTCACCTGCATGTTCAAGCCTCCATTCCTCTGATGTTGTCAGCACTGTTTTCCTTTGCTCTGTGTTACAGATGGTAGAGTTCATGCAGCGCTGTACTTCACATATGAAGGCTATCATCCAGGGCTTCTCCTATGACCTCCTGAAGAAGATAGACTCTCCTCTGCGGCTCATCTGTAGTCCACCGTGGTTTGGTAGCCTCATTCAGGGGTGAGCACCAGTCTTGAACCACTTCAGCCTTCCTGGTGGGAGCCTTGTGGTTCTTTAGCAGCATAACAGGTTGAAGCAGGGAAGGAAAAGCCCACCTCTGCTAAATTGCTAAGGAGATAGGACCTATAGTAGTTCCAAGAGCAGAATGATATCATCTTCCTCTTCTGCCGTCCTTCTTTTGTCTGAGACACAGTCTCAGTACATACCACAACTGTCTTGGAATTCACTATGCAGATTAAGCCAGCTACAATCTCGGAAATCAGTCTGCCTCTGTCTTCTGAGTTCGGGATTAAAGGTGCACGTCACCACACCTAGCGGCAGAGGAATTTTCATTCCGTTTGAGTTGAAAGTGCTGAAGCATTCATTGCATGCATGACACTGGTACTGTTTCCAGTAAAACTAAGCTTATGGGAGCCTGGTGTGCAGATGGTTTGCGGGTTTGAGAGTAGGCTGCGGAAGAGCAGTGACTGGAGGAGTAGTGTTTACATCTAGTCCTTGCTGATGTTCTCTGGCCTTCTTGGGCTGTATGTTTTTCTATTTGTAAGATGAAAAAGTTGTAGAAGATAAGCTTTGTGATACTTTTCAACTCAGACCATCTGTATTTCTGTCAATCGATGCATGATAATTACCTCTCAAACTTAACAAGTGTCAAGTAGCAAGTAACAAGCACTAAGTATCTCTTATCTCATGCAGTTTCTGTAGTTTAGGAATCTCAGAATGGGTTCAGGGGTGTTATCATCTGAAGGCTTGGCTGAGTGGAGCTTCAGTTCAAAAATGGAACTCTAACTTGACTGGTGCTGGGCTGCTTGAATGTCCTCACAGTTTCCTCAGAACCAGTGATCCAAGAGAGATTGGGGCAGAAGTCCTGGTAGATGTTCCTTTGGAGGTGGCTCATTTTATTTTTTAAATATATTATTGTGTGTGCGTGTGTGTATGCATGTGTGCACTCGTTCTGCTGTACACCCGTTCATGCACATGCCATCATGCATGTATAGAGATCAAAGGACTGCTTGTGGAGGTCAGTTCTCTCTTCATCACATGGGTCTCTTGAGATCGAACTCTGGTCATGAGGTTAGTGGCAAGCACCTTTACCTGCTGAGCCGTTTTTCCTCTGTCCACGAAACTAATTCCTTTATTTCTGCAATATCATACTGAGTTAACAGAGCAACCTGATATGACATGTGAGGAGTCGAGAATCCTAGGTCCTTCCACAGAGGGTGTCTATTACACATCTTCATTCCCATAATAAAAGCCAATTAATCATGTTCATGTGGTCATACATATACTAACATTGGGAAATTATGATGGCCCCTGTGCTAAGATAATAAACAATAATTCGATAATTTTTCAGTGTGGCTGTAGGAAGGAAGGAAACAGAGCCGTCCACCTTAGCGCTGGCTGCTGCTCCTGTGCGCCACCACTGCCTGGCAATGACCACACTTCTTTGTCACCCCTCTTCCCCCAGATAGCTCAGTTTGGCCTCCAGGGTGCTATGTGGCAAAAGATGGCCTTGAACTGTATCCTTTGTACCTCACAAATGCTGGGGTTAATAGACATGCACTACTCTTTCCTGGCTCCCCAGGCTGGCCTTGAACGATAGCCCAGGATGGCTTCAGCCCTTGGGAAGCAGAGGCAGGCAGATCTCGGAGTTGAGGCCAGCTGGTTTTCTTGCCTCAGCCTTCCTAACGCTGAAATTGCAGCTGTGTGCCGTCACTCTCAATTGCCTGAAGGCTTTTTGTTTGTTTGTTTTTCCTTCTTTGTGACAGGGTCTCATAAAGTCCTGGCTGGTTTAACTCACTGTGTGGCCAAAGATGACTTTGAACTTTGAATCCTTCTGCTTCTATCTCAAAAGTGTTCAGATTACAAATTCTGTAGCCCTGGCTGACTTGGATCTTTCTGTGTAGCCTGTGTTAGACTCAGACTCGTCAGGAGTCTCTCATTTTAGCCTCTTGGGTGTTGGGATTACAGGCATACACTAACATACTTGACCCCAGGATTTTTAAGGTACCCTCTGTAGTAGTAGTAGTAGTAGTAGTAGTAGTAGTAGTAGTAGTAGTAGTAATAATAATAATAATAATAATAATAATAATAATAATAATAATAATAATATACTACTACTACTACTGCTGCTACTATTACTACTAATAATAAGATAGGACTCAGCTGGGTGCACACCTTTAATCCTAGCACTTAAGAGGCAGAGGCAAGCAGATCTCTGAGTTCCAGGACAGCCAAGGCTACACCCTATCTCAAAAATAATAATAATAGTAACAACAACAACAACAAAATCAACGTTTTGGTGGTTCTTCTTCTTCTTCTTCTTCTTCTTCTTCTTCTTCTTCTTCATCATCTTCTTCTTCTTTTTTTTTTTTTTTTATCAGGGTCTTTCTCTCAGCTTATTCTCGTCTCCAACCCATGGCAATTCACTTGTCTCAGTTTCCTAAGGGTTAGGATTACAGACCTGAACACTGTGCCTGGCAAAAGATAATACTCTTAAACAAGCTAGGCCTGGTGGTGCACAGTTGTAGTCCTTGTAGGCTGCTAAGCAGGGAGAAAGGGACTAAAAAGGGCTATTTGCAGCCAGGTGCTTCTCTGGCACCATATTGAACATAACACACATCTATGCCAGCTTCCTCTAGCACAGTCCATAGCCCACAGTATCCTTTCTAAAGCAGAGGGAACACATTAAAAAATATCTTTCTTTTCTCCTCTTATCTGTCTCCCCCAGTGAAGTTGCAGAATTCTTCAATTTCCTATTCTTTTTTTTTTTCAAATTGTCCTTGAGTTTTCTTCTGAGTTCACTTTTAATCTACCAAACTAACTTACACATAATTATACATTATATCCTGTATTACTCAGTACCAGCCCTTGAGGAGGGGTAGATTTCATAACAGCCTGGCATGGGCTGCATAAAAAGACCTTGTCACACACACAAAAGCCAAGTAGTGAAGATAGCTGCCTTAGTTGGGTTTTTGTTTCTTGTTGTCTTGTTTGTTTTAGGGTCTTTCTGTGTAGTCCTGGCTGTCCTGGAACTGGCTTTGTAGACCAGGCTGACCTCGAACTCAGAAATCTGCTTGCTTCTGCCTCCCTGCCACCTACTGGCTCATCTACTTGTTTTATGTAGCCTAGGCCCACTTGCCTGTGAATGGCACTACCCACAGTGGGCTGGGCCATCCTGCATCAATTAGAAATGATTAAGAAATGATCCATAAACCTGGTCACAGGCCAGTCTGATCTGGACAAGTCTTTAGTTGATGCTTCTCTTTTCCAGGTGACTGTAGGTTTGTGTCAGGTTGATGGCTAGCTATGGTAACAATTACACATTTTGGAAAACTTGGCTTGGTATTGTTTCTTTGGATATGAATGATAAATTTTTACTTTTCTCTCTCTAAATATTCCTAGAAGCCCAAGTAGTTCTCCTCATCGACAGCTTAAACCAGGAATCATTTCTGCCCAAAACATCTACAGCTTTGGCTTCGGGAAGGTAAGATGTTGCCACTCAGAGCCAAGCGTTGCTGTTCTACTGGAGAATCACATGACCAGGTCTCTCCCCCTTAGTCAACTCTTGCGTTTTTTGGGGTGGAGTTTGAGCAGGGATCTCAGGCTTGAGATAGCCCTGCCTCAAGCTCCCCGGTGCTGGGACTAAAGGGATGAGCTGCCGCACTCACGCTCAGCTAAACCTAATGATTTTTTTTCTTTTCCAGATACTGGAAAAGCAAAGATAATTCATCCAGCATATTTCCCAGTGGCATCTTTATTTAACTGGCAGAATAGAGGATCCCAAAGATAATATTTGCCCTCAAAACATTCTTCAGTTCATTAAAAGCATTTAAGTATATTCACTAAACCTGTGGGAAGGTAGGTCATCAGGAAGCAAATCCTTGAGCTGGTACAACTTTCTGCCTCTGTTAAAGGAGAATGCACGGACCTTCCTGAGAATTAAAAGATCTAGGTCTTCTTGCATCCTAGGCAAATGCTTTATCTCTGGGTTACATACAACATCAGCCCTCAATTCCTCCCTCTTATCCTCAGAGTATTTTTTTCTTTTTTTGCTCTTTTGCATTGTAGGAAAGATATTTCTTAGTGCTCCTGCACTTACTGAAAAATAGTAAACACTGTAGCAAATTTATTTGAATGACTCTGGCAAGATATAAAGTGTGTAGAAGTGATCCCACTGACAAACACTGCCGGGTAATTAATGATCTTTGCTTTTCCAGTCTGTCTTTCTACCAAGAGAGAATTATATCTGATAGCTTATGTCTCATCCACAAGAATGAGGCAGAGAATAAGGAGCAGACTTGGAAAGGAGCAAGTTTCCACTCTCAGTGACACACCTTCCCCAACAAGGCCAAACCTCATAATTCTTCCCAAACTGTTCCACTAACTATGGACCCAACATTTAAATATATGAGCCTATGAGAGGCCATTCTCATTTTGACTACCACAGCCACTCAGTCCCAGTCACGTCACTTCAGGCAATATGCTGGACTTCTGTCTGAACCAACTCAGTAAAAGGGAAAGAATATTTCAGGATTCAAAATAATATAAAGGCAGTTGTGGATCATATAGGTTCATACTGATGATTCTGTCCTTAGAAGGATAAGGTATTGTAAAAAGAAATACCAGAAGCTACCTGAAATGGCACACTCCTGTAGTTCCAGGACATAGAGGCAGGAAGATCAGCATTTGAGGCCTCTGTAAGCTACATATTGAGATCTTATTTGAAAAACAGGTGGGACAGCGGGGCATGTTGGTGCACACCTTTAACCCCAGCGTTTGGAAGGTAGGCGGGCTTATCTCTGAGTTTGAGCCTGGTCTACATAGTGAGTTCTAGGCAGCCTTGGCTACATAGTAAGACCATGTCTCAAAAATCAACCAATCAGCCGGGCATAGTGGCACATGCCTGTAATCCCAGCATTTAGGAGGCAGAGGCAGGCAGATTTCTGTGAGTTGGAAGCCAGCCTGGTCTACAAAGCAAGTCCAGAACAGCCAAGGCTACACAGAGAAATCCTGTCTGGAAAAAACCAAAATAACAGCAACAGAATTAACCAAAGCAACCACCACCAACAAAGATAGTACATAGGCGTATTTATTTATTTATTTATTTATTTATTTATTTGTTTATTTATTTATTTATTTATTTATTTATTTATTTATTTATTTATCTCATTATAGATAGTTGTGAGCCACCATGTGGTTGCTGGGAATTGAACTTAGGACCTCTGGAAGAGCAGGCAGTGCTCTTAACCTCTGAGCCATCTCTCCAGCCCCATAGGTGTATTTATTAAGTAGCAGCTCTAAGCCAAGTGAAAAGATTCTGTAGGTATTTTGCTTTCCTTTTATTCTTCCCACAACCTGAAGCTGTTTTCCTGGTTTCAGTTTTATCTTACTTCAGGACTGCAGCTCACTTACCCGGGATCTCTTCCAGTAATTGGAGAAAAGGAAGTGATTCAAGCTGACGATGAGCCTACCTTCTCTTTTGTCAGTGGGCCCTACATGATCATGACCAAGTAAGTGGGAACTGGTCGGCGGGAGTTTGGATTAGTCCCAGGGGAAGAGTGGCTTCCTATGCATCGCTAGCCTTTTCTCAAACACGAAGCAACTCATAATGTCTTTAAATTAGGCTTTCTCACTGTGGACAACTTTGGCCAGCTGATTCTTTGTGGGCAGACCTGTGCATTGTAGGATATTCAGGCATGTGACTTATCTCTGTCCATTGGTGCCTTTTGCAACTGTTTATGGCCCTCTCAGTTGTGACAAGCAGATTGTCAATAGATACTACCAAATATCTGCTATCCAGAGAACAACTGCTCTTGAGAAATTTCTCATTTCAGTATGCTAATCTTTCTGCTTTCTAAAGGATTATAGAGGCAGCAAGATGGCAATTGTCTTGCCTCTGAAACAGGCTGTGGCTCTCAGTCAAATCCAAGGATGGTGACAGGAACAGGATTTAGATGTGACTGAAGCCTGTTGGATGTGCTCAGTCCTCAGATACCTAGTCCCTGCGGGTTAGAAGAGTTGTCCTGGCTAGGATGTCCTGGCTTTTAGGCCTTGGATGCTTCTTTCCTTCTTCAAAGAAACATGCATCTAAGAAGCCTCTGCTGGGTCCACAAGGCCCCTTTGCCCTCTTGTTTTTCTGCCTGTGCTGTGCGTTTGTTGTCAGGTTGTACATCTGTCCCATCACTATGGCTCCTGTCCATTCTTATGGCTTCTTAACTATTCTCTTGTCTTTGGATCTCCACAGCACTATCCATTTGCCACACTGCTGTCTAACACAAAAACCTTATCAAATTACTTGCTTCCTTGGATCCTTATGTGACTTTTGCCTCCTCACATAATTCTCTTTTGAACCTGGAGGTGGTAGGAAGGAGGATCCAATCTTAAGGGGAAGCCGAGATTCTGTGTGAACTAGTTTTCCAGATCTGTAGGAGGAAGACTGGTTCACTGAAGCAGTGGCCACTCAGCCCCTCTCCTTTCACTCTTTTCTGCTCTTTCAGCCTTGTGTGGAACAGGAGCCGAGTCACGGTGAAGGAGCTGAACCTTCCCAGCCATCCTAACTGTAGCAGACTAAGGTTGTCTGACTTGCTGATTGTTGAGCAGGAGCACAGCAGGTAAGGAGAAGTAAGAACAAGACCCACTGCAGGGCCAAGTTGATAGAGATCCAGCTGCGGTACACCTATCTCACCTAGTTTCAGCATGTCCTGAGTGCTGGACTTGGTTGACTTCTAAAAGCTGTTGAAGGAACAAAGGGATTAGTGAATAGTCTGAGGAGTATGGATTGTGATGGTAAGGGCCTCAGTTCCGATATCTGTCCTGTAACTCATGTCTTTGTGTGGATAGGCCTTCAGGACCAACATTTTTTTCTGGGGCCTCCATTTGGGACCGTGTACCCATCTGGAGAGCAAGTGACTGCCCTGCTTTTATAGAACATAGCAGCCCATGAGGTCAGGTATCTGCGAACCACAGCTCCACTACTAAGGATATTTCCATGAGTCTCAGTTCCCAAGACTTTCTGAGGTTCATGTCATTTAGGTCTTGGTGAGTCAGACACTGGGTTCATGATTTCATACCAGGGCCACCAAGGAGCTGAAATGGATTGAGCTAGTTCCTGAAGAGGTCACTCAGCCCTGTAGGAGGTGTCATTAGGCAGGCAAAACCCTTACTCTTGAAGAAGCTGCTCTGAATGGCTGACACAATCTGAAAAGACATATAGGTAGGCATGGCATGTGCTTTGACACGAGGCTGAGTAGGTATGTGACTTCGGACACATTTCCTTGATATCTGCCTCCTTTCTTGGAAAGCTCTCTACCGTTGAGCTACATCCCTGTTTTAATTGGTTACTTCTTTTCTAAAGTGAGTAGGAGGGTGCATTTCTGTGATGATGATGCAGAGTGTCCTAGTTCGGGTTTCTATTGCTGTGACAAACACCATGACCAAACAAGTTTGGGAAAGAAAGGGTTTATTTGGCTTATATTTCCATATTGCTGTTCATCGTTGAAGGAAGTCAGGACAGGACATCAACAGGGCAAGAACCTGGAGACAGAGGCTGATGCAGAGGTCATGGAGGGTGCTGCTTACTGGCTCGCTTCCGCTGACTTGCTCAGCCCTCTTTGAGCACCCAGGACCACTAGCCCAGGCATGGAATGATGCCCAATTGGCTGGGCCCTCCCCCATCAATCATTAGTTAAGAAAAAGCCTAGCCAGGCACAGTGGTACACACCTTTAATTCCAGCACTTTGCCAAGCAGAGGCAGGCAGATCGCTATGAGTTCTAGGCCAGCCTGGTCTACAAAGTGAGTCCAGGAAAACCAAGGCTACACAGAGAAACCCTGCCTCAAAAAAAAAAATGCATTACAGTCTAATCTTATGGAGACATTGTCTTCTCAGTTGAAGTTCTCTTCTTTCAGATAATTCTAGCTTTTGTGTCAAGTTGACATAAGACTAGCTAGCACACAGTATTTTGTAGGTTTTGTCAGCATTGTTATTATTGCCATTGATAAAAATATGTAATTTATAATTTTATGTTCATTGGTGTTTTTGTTGTCATGTATGTCAACATGTGTGAGGGTGTCCATCAGGAGCCTTGGAACTGGAGTTATGGACAGATGTAAGCTGTCATGTGCGTGCTGGGAATTAAACCCTGGTCCTCTGAAAGAACAGCCTGTGCTCTTAACCACTGAGCTACCTTCATCTTCTTTCAACAGATGTCTCCCCTTCCAGAACCCATCTTATTTTCTAAGAAAAATGCTATATATAAATTGTATTTTGGCTTTTGTTTTTCTATTTGTTGTTTGTTATTGAGATAAGAGCTCATGTAGCCCAGGCTGCCCTTGAGCTCACTGTGTAGGAGAGGGTAACCTTGAGCTTGAACCTCTTCCTGCCTCCATCTCCCAGTTACTGGGATTATCAGCTGCACTGCCATGCCTGACTATAAATGGGATTTATTTAGAATGTGTTCAAATGATGTAAAAGAAGGAATATAGCCTGTGTTTTTATCATGCTCTTCTATGCCTGTGCCTTCTGAAGATTTTTCTCTTTTGTAGCAATCTGCGGCATCCTAACCTGCTGCAGCTGATGGCTGTGTGTTTGTCCCGGGACCTAAAGGAAATCCGCCTGGTTTATGAACGTATCACAGTCGGCACACTGTTCAGCGTCCTCCATGAACGAGTAAATGGTCATTCTATAGATTTCTCCCAGATGTCCATCCTATTCTCTGTGCCCTCTTCCCTGCTGTCCTTTCAGAGTCCCCATTTGGAAGGTAACCCTGTAAATCCTTTTCCTGTACTGCGTAACATGCTGGGTAAGACTGATACGCATGTGTTGGAGCTATGTGATTTAAGTTTTTTACATTGCTTCCTTGCTTTCTTGACTGATTCATGTGTCTGTCTGTGCACTACCCCAAATGTCAGAGGACAGCTTGTTGGAAGGAGAGTTCTCCTTCCACTGTGGGTTTCAGGGATGGAACTCAGGTCACCAGGCTTGGCAGCAAGCCATCTCACTGGCCCTAATACAATCTTCCTTCTTTCATTAAACGAATTTCTCTCTCTCTCTCTCTCTCTCTCTCTCTCTCTCTCTCTCTGTGTGTGTGTGTGTGTGCGCGCGCGCGCGCATACGCATGTGGAGATTAGAGCGTTACTCTGGTTCTTTCTGTGAGTTCTGGGGAATTAAGCTCAGTTCATCGTAGATCATGAGACATCACACCCGCTTTACCTGCTGCTCCATTTAGTTGGCCTTGTTTCATTTTGAGATAAGCTTTAACTGTGTAACCCAGATTAACTAGCCTCAAGTTCAACACCTTCCTACTTCTCAGCCACCTAAGTGCTGGGATTGCTGGTACACAATTCCTGGCCTCTCAGTCCTGCTCCTTTTTTTTTTTTTTTTTTTAAAAATAATTAGTTAATTAATTTATTATTAAATCAGCCCTTTAATAGCTCAACAGAAATATATTGGTGCAATTCTAGCTGAGCCCTTGGCCACAGGCCCTTTCCCTTACATTTCACTTGTGTTCTATACTGGTTTACTTATATAGATGGCTCACCACTTCCTTCTCAGATTTCCTTGTAATGAAGGACTCTTCTATGACTGACAGGTCTTGTGGCTAAGTGTTCTTTGGGCTGCGATATGGATTCTAGGAGCTCTTCCTCTCTGACCCCCTATTCTAAATACCCTGGCTGGGAGTGAAGAGAGACCCTCCAGAGAGTGTTTCTCCTCAATTCTTTACTGGTGGGAAAGAAAGGACCTTCCTGGCAGTTTCTACACATTAACCTGGAATGCACATACCAAGTCTAGAGTATGTTCTTCCAATTTTTCATGATATAAAGCAGATCACCTGTAGGAAAGGAGCTGGGGCCTGGATCAGTGGAAGTATAGTCACTTATCCTCACTGACATTTGGGCTCCTTGTCTGCTAAACGAGAATACCAGGAAGCCGTGAGAATTAAGTGAAAACAATTTGGAAATGGCACAAGGAGGTCTTTTCCTTTGTTTTTGGGACTTTCTCTTTTGCTTGCAGCGGTCCCAGTTCCCAGTGTTGCACATGGAAGTGATTGTGCACTTGCTGCTCCAGATTGCTGATGCCTTGATATACCTGCATTCCCGCGGGTTTGTCCATCGCTCCCTCAGCTCCTATGCCGTGCACATCGTCTCTGCAGGAGAGGCAAGGCTGACCAACCTGGAATACATGATGGAGAGGTAGGTAGAGCCTGCATCGTAGTGTCTTTCCTAAGAGGCACTCCCTGGGGGAGCTTGGTTACAGTGTTGAAATCTATCTGTTCAGGACTCATAAAGAGATTTCCCAAATGCCTAGCTCTGTTTGCCAAGGCTGTAGATAGACTCTTGTTGTACACTGTGTGTAGGGGGGGGGGGGGTAGTGGGAGGCAACTTTCCTTCTACCATGTGGGTCCTGAGAATCAAATTCAGGCCGTCAGGCTTGCTGTCAGGACCCTTTACCACTGAGGCCTCTCACCAGTCCCTTTCCCACACCGCCCCCCAAGATGGAGTATTGTATATAGCTCAGTCTGGCCTCAGACTTATGAAGGAGTCTAGGTGGACTTGAATTCACTGTTCTCTTTCCTCAGCTTCTCAGGAGCTGTTACAAGTGTGTGTTGCCACACTGGCTTGGAAGTTACTTCTGCTTAGGGTAGTCTCATTTTCATAAACCTGTAACATTCACGTGAACCAATGTATATCAAAGCCTCTATCCATCCACTCTAAAAATTTTCCACTTAGCCCAACAGGACTGTTCAGGACTCATAGTTGGTGGGAAAACTTGTCCATCAGCACAGAAATATAAATATAATTTTTTTTGAGATAGGATTTTTCTATGTAGCCCTGGCTGTCCTGGGACTCACTGTGTTTTGTAGACCAGGCTGGCCTTGAACTCAGAGATCCTCCTGCCTCTGCTTCCCAAGGGCTGGGATTGAAGGTGTGCACTACCATGCTGGGCTGAGTTGTATGTTCTTACTCTGTATTCTGTCCTGTGTGTTGGAAGGGGTCTTGTTACACATGTCTCCCATTAGTGGCCAGCCACCCCTAAGGCCTCAGTTGCCCACTGCATTCTTTTCATTGTTAGGCAGGGAATAAAGAAAACAAGAGAGAGTACATAGTAAGGTTTGGGAATAACCTGAGCTGGGTACATCACAGCTTACCACTTTGCCCTGAAGCAGTTAGCTTCTTATTGAATAGAGCCTCAGAAAGGTGCCTTGGCTCTAGAAGAGGTAAGGGGCACCAGTGAGCCTTCTGGACTGTATCTTCTGCTGGGCACACTCTGCCCTCAAGGGACTCAAGCACATGGAGAAACACTTAAAACATGAGTTCCTTGTTCAAACACTGGTAATTGGGCTTAGTTTCCTACTGGGTTGGGACCAGAGCCTTGGTTATCCTGGAACTCACTCTGTAGACCCTGTTGGCCTTCAGCTCAAGAGATCTGCTTGCCTCTGACTTCCTAGTGCCAGGATTAAAGGTGTGCACCACCACCACCACCTGTTTATAAAAGTTGTCCTTTGATCCCACCACATGCACACACACACGGAAACACACAGCCTTTCAAGGGCTCCTTGCCTGCAAGAATAGGTTCAGGCAATTTTTGGGGGAGTATGGAAGTAACCCCAAAATGTTCTCACCTCCCAGGAGGGGCTCTGATAACATTGCACTGTCACCTTTACCCACAGAGTGTCAAATATCCCAGGCTAGCCTTATACACTTTAAATAGCCAAGAATGGCCTTGAGCTCTGCCTCTCAAGTGCTGGGATTATGGGCATTTGCTTACTATTCTTGACACTTTCTGGTCATTTGAACTCACTTTCAGTCTTCACTGCTCAGCATATCTACCATATCTAGTATACCTTGTATATACTTATTTCACCACCCTTGTCTTTTCTTTCTAAAAATATTCTTAAAGTATATGTATGTGTATCTGTGCATGTGTACATGTGTATGTGCACATGTGTGCCGCTGCTGGAAGAGGACGCTGGTATCAGATCTCCTTGGATCTGTAGTTATAGATGGTTCTGAACAACCCAACATGGGTGCTAGGAACTGGACTTGGGTCTTCTGTAAGAGCAGTATGTGCTTTTAACCACTGAGCCATCTCTTAGCCCCACCCTTTTTGGTCTCTCCCACGCTCCCCCCCCCCCCCAATCTTGCTATGTAGCTCTAGTTGGCCTGGAGCTCATTGTGTAGAGTTGGCTGGCCTCAAATTTGTGGCAATATTCCTGTCTCTTTCCCTGAGAGTATTGGGATTATAGACATGCCCAGATCTAATTTTTAAAACACTTGTTTGTGTATGTGTGTGCACATTTATGAGGAGACTAGAGATCAACATTGGTTGTCTTCAGTTGCTCTCTTCCCTAGGGGTCCTCTTGTCTCTAGATTCCCAGAACTGAGATTATATAGAGGTTAGGGCCCTTAACCTTCAAAGCTGTATTCTGTTGCTATTGTTAAAAGAGGCCTAGCCCATCAGAAATTTTTCATGGTTTATAATAAAGCTAGGCCTTGTCATCATCTTGTGACCATTAATTAGTGAAATCTTTTTATCTCCATCCGAAGGAGAATATCCTCCAGAGCTAAGCAAGTTTTACAAAAGCTAAAATATGCAGGTTTCTAGTTAAGGCAGTCTTATTTTTAGCAAACAGGACTCATACTGTCTAAGCAGATACTGTTCTGCCAAGTTCATGGGACCCTCAGAGACCACCAGGAGAGGACTCGATGCAATTGCAAGAGAGCTTTATTACGAGAGCGATCAAACTCAGGACCCAAGTCTCTCTGACGCAGCAGTAGAGAAGTGGGACCCTGAGCTCTGAGTGAACAGGATTTTTAAAGGGAAAGTCTGTGAGCAGGGGGTTTCCATGGCAGCAAGCGGGGGGCACAAGTCTTGGCGTTACAGAATTGGGTGAAGTTTAGCAGGGTGGGGTGACCTTTTCTGAGGCACACAATCACAATGGCTATTTTTCTAAACCACATCTGAAACATTGGGGAGAATTTTCCCACCCGATTCTCAACTGATTCCCATTGATTATTGCCAGGGAGTTTGTCTCTATTTTCTATGAAGCATTTATTCTGTTATATTTCCTGGAGGCTGTTGCTAGGAGAGTTAACTTTGTTTTCTGCCAGGTGTACATTCTGTGATATTTCCTGGTACCTGAATTCAGTTCCCAGTCAAAATCTTTATTTCAAAATGGAGTTATATTCTGGCTAACTTAAACTCTTCACTACTGGTCGTGGTCACTTCTTAAGGGAGATGAACATTTTCTAGAGAAGAGGAAGGGGCAAGCAGGTTCACAAAACATAAGTCAGGGTCAGCTCTGTTGTCAAAGGTTAGAGATGGTTTCTTATTCCAGTGTAACCTTGTAGTTAATATTAAAGGTTACTAGTTTTCCTTTCTTCTTCACTCCCTGCTTTTGGATATGATTAATTTCATACAAGGCTCCAGTTTTAGAATTCTGCTTCATTAAGAGCCAGGCATCCAGGATGAACTGCCGTGTACTTATTAGGTAGGCTTAGAAGTCAACACCATTGTAACTTTATAGCTTTTATAAAAGGAGGTAATGAACTGGAGTCAGTAGTTTAGGGTGTAAGGTCTAAATAACGGGTTCAAAATGATTACGAAGAAAGAGCCTGTTAAAGGAATCAGCCCCAAATTCCAGTTCCAGTAGATAGTTCAGGAGTCTCAGGAGATTTTTAGTGTGCTTTTCTTCTTTTGTCTGTTTGCTTTTAGCTGTTTAATTGTTGTATCTTTGACTATTCTTAATTTATTAGCACAATAGCAGCATTCTTTGTTTAAGAATGTGCAAGTCCTCCCTCCTCTGCTGTTACCGATTTAGGCCTCTTCAGAAGGATGGCTCCTGCAAGGGAATCCACTTGGTCCTGTATTGTTTCTCCTGCTTCACCTATCTGTCCCCTATCCTTAATTGCTTGGTTAGACAGATAGATCATTACATTGTTTTTCTAAAGATGCTGTTTTTCTAATCCCAGGCCCACACCAGCTGTCGTTTCCAGTCCCACTGCTAGGGGGATAAGAACAGAAGTGCTTTTAAGCTTGCCATGGGCTTCTATCTATGGTAACGTGGGAGATTCATTACCTTGAGCTGTATTGGCTTGTGGATTTATATAAATGAGAGTACAAAGCCCCATTCAGTTAGGAAGGAGGCACTGGTGTTCTTACAGCACCCAGGACCACTGGCCCAGCTGTGGCACCATCCACAGTGAGCTTGGTCTTCCTACATCAGTCATCAACCAAGAAAATGTACCACAGGCTTGCCCACAGGCCAATCTTATGGAGGCATTTTCTCAATTTAGATTTCTTCTCAGATGACTTAGCTTATGTCACATTGACAATAAAATAGCCAGGACAGTTGTGTTCACTCAGTATTTGCTGCATGATTGGATGGATATAGATGAAAGGAACACTTAATGGAACAAAATCAGGGTTAACTACTTTGCCTCTATAATCCAAAGCATTGGGTCTGGAGAGATGGCTCAGAGGTTAAGAGCACTGGCTGTTCTTCCAGAGGTTCTGAGTTCAAGTCCCAGCAACCACATGGTGGCTCATAACTATCTATAATGAGATCGGGTGCCCTCTTCTGGGCAGAAGATTGTTTAAATAATAAATAAACATTAAAAAAAAAATGATTACCCCCAAAGCATCTCACCTTTTGAACTTTCTGCTTGATAATACTATCAGAGGCTTTAAAGGCTGAGAGAAATGACACCAATTGTCAGGAGTGCCATCTGCTGTTGAGAAGACAGCATAACAGTTTAGTCTGGTTTTGTGCTTCCATAGAAATAGGAATCATGTTTCCTAACTCCCCCCACTTCTTTTTAAATTATGGTGCTGGGGACCAGTCTCAGAGTTTCACATATGCTAGGCAAATGCTGTACCACTAAGCACAGCCTCAGCCCAACTCAAGGTCCAGAGGGATGAGGGGATGCTGTCCAGTGACCCAGCCAGTTTGTTAGGGGTGCAACTGAAGTAGAGCCAGGGGGCGGGGGTGGGGGTAGAAAATGCTCCTAGGTCACAGGCATAGTGGACTGGAAGTTGAATGCAGGAAGACCAGCTAGGAGACACCGGATGGAGGCAGGGAGCAACAGTACAAAAAAGTGGATTGCACTGAGGAGCTGGTGTTAACAGCTGCCTGGGCTGGGGTTGGAGTGAAGGGAAGGAAAGAATGGTGAGCATTAGCTAGGGTTCATGAGAGACTGAGCATGGTAGACATGTAGGCAATCTCATTTGGGCTTGCTGACCTCAGAATGGAACTTGAGACAGAAATGGCAATCAGCCAGTCATCATAGCCACAACAGTATACCTTTCTTTGTAATGTAAGTTGATAACCCATGAGTCCAAATAGCTTTTAGTTGTTCGCTTATTTTGGATAACACTCTACTTGGGCACATTCGTTTGTTTGACATTCATACTAATGGTAATACTGCATCTCCTGGCGTAAAAGCAACACAGCAGCGGTTTTCTACTCCAAGTTCCTCAGTTGAATCTTTAAAGCAGGGTACTGCTTGACGCTGCAGGTGGTGTCACATAGTTACACCCAATTTAATTTACAGGATTCAGTTCAAATTTAACTGAATCCCAGAACACTTAACTGCCCTACAGTGACAGCCAAAGTAGTCTCTCATCCTCAGCACCACTCTGCCCTTTTCCGTGCTGGCAGGGAACACAGGGCCTCTCTCTCATACAGTGAGTGAGCACTTGAGCTAGATCCAAGCCCTTCCATCTCACTTTAAGAGAGAAAGAAGAAAGACTGTAAGAGAAGAAAGGGAGAATAAATAAGAAAAAGGATTTGAATTCTGACTTGGCCTTTGCTAGAGCCAAAGAGGCCCTAGGTTCCTTTGAAGGAGTGCCCAGCTTGAGGCATGACAGTTTCTCAGAATATATTACAGATAATGGAATACCCATTGCCTTTGTAGGGATAGCTAAGGAGGAGCACTTGTCTAGCATGCATGAGGGTCTGTGTTTGATTCCCAGCATTCCCATAAAACCATAACCAAAACTTTGACTTTTTTGTGATACTGATGTAATTTGTTAATTTAATAATATGACAAATATTCCGAATTCATACATTAAACATATACCTATATATAAAATTTGTGTGCATAGCACAATACACAAGGGCCCACTTTACCATTTAGCAATACAGATTAAAGGCCTGGATCAGATTTTTTAAAATTCATGGTTTCCTGACCTCACTGCTCTCTGTCAAAGGCTGTACTGAGCAAGTAGGGAGGTGTGGAGATGGATCTGGTAGGAATTGGGAAGGGTGGGTAAATACGATAAAAAATACATAGGATTGTACAAAATTCTCAAAGATTTAATTAAAATACTTCCACTGATAGAAACTTTAGTCTGAGAGGCCTCATCATATCTTCTAATATCTATGCTTATGCCAAACCAGCAAAGAACTTTTTTTTTCCTTTTTTCTTTTTTTGAGACATGGTATTCTGTGTACCAGGCTGGTCTTAAACTTGCAAGCAGGAGTGGGAAGGAGCTGTGGGCATTAGCAGAGCTCCAAGGCAGTGTATATCAGCTCAGTGTAGAGCTGCATTTTCAGAAGCTCCCGGAGATGATTAACAGGAAATATTTAAGTGCACTTTGTGGTGATCATGACTCCTTAAAAGAAACTCTGCCTTGTGTTTCCTTCCGTAGCCAGGACAGCGGTATGCAGAGAGACATGACTCGAGTGCCCCTCCCCACCCAGCTGTACAACTGGGCTGCACCAGAAGTGATCTTACAGAAGGCAGCCACAGTGAAGTCAGACATCTACAGCTTTTCCATGATCATACAAGAGATCTTAACAGGTGATCCAGGAGCACAGTAAAGCATTATCAGCGTCCTTATTTTAGCTTAGAGATTTCACCCCAGGAGTTACTTGGTTTTATGAAAATTCAGAACTTAAGAAAAAAATCTTGAAAGGTCTTTTATGTTTGTTTGTCTGTCTGTCTGAGATAGGGTCTTATGTAGCCCTGGCTGTCCTGGAACTTCCTATGTAGACCAGGCTGCTTCGAACCTACAAAGATCCACCTGCCTCTGCCTCTAGTGCTGGGAATAAAGGTGTACACTGCTACACCAGGCTTCAAGGAACTTTGTGCATATTGACATAAGATAGTTCCCCAGAAATCTTTAACTATTTAAGCCCAGAAAAGCCCATAGATCTGCTCGATGGTGATAAGGCCTTTAGCATAAGTTGAATGAATGAATGAACAAATAAATAATTAAACAAACAAACAAACAAACAAACAAATTCCCTCTATTGCTGGGGATTGAACTTGGGACAAGAGCTATATCACTGAGTTGTACTTCCAGCCTCCAGAGCAAAGTTTATTTGAATATTTGCGCAAACTTTATTTAAATGTTTGTGTCGGTACTTAAGGTTCTTTGTGATGTACCCCTTTGAAAACTTACAAATGAGAGAAGGTTGGCTTCTAAAGAGTAAACATGAAACTGAATACCCAGAGGGATTAATAGATGTACATAGAATATCTCTTGAAAGAAATGAAATCCCTTTGAACTTAATATGACTTCATGTACTCACATAACTGAAGACAGAAGGATTCCTGAGAGAGAGAGAGACAGGCATAGTCACATGCTAACAGAGTAAAATCACATTCAGGTTAGGGAATAGGTCAGAACAGCTGACTTTTTGATGTTTGCAATCCCAGAGGAAAAGCTACACTCCATGAGATGAATTTATGATCTACTCAGCTTGATGCCCAAGCATTCCCTTGTCCCCAGTCTGCTAGGGATGTCCATGTGTGCAGGATGCTGGCACTACTTTTTGCCAACTCCGGTAGCTATTTCCCTGGTATATAGGTAAATTGGCTCTTTGTCCATAATTGGACCACCAAGTAGTTTCTCTGTGGGAAGAAAGTAATGTTTAAAGTGTCCAAGTATCTTGACTAAAGTTATTTCACAAATTTTGATTTATTATTATTTTTCTTTTTTTTACTTCTTACATGCTGTTTATATTTTAATGCTTTATTAGTATATATTAATTATATAATAGTTTCATAATGAAGTTTTTTACATGTATAAAATATATTTTGGTCAGATTCACTCCCATTGCTCTCTTTTATTTTTAATTTAATTTTATGTGTATGGGTGTTTTGTATGCATGCATATCTACACACCACTTGTGTGCCTGGTGCCTGCAGAGTTGAGAAGAGGGCATCATGTCCCTTGGAACTAAGGTTACTGATGGTTGTGAGCGGCCATGTGGGTGCTAGGAAGTGAACCGGAATCCTCTGGAAGAATAGCCGGTGCTCTTAACCGCTGAGCCCTCTTTTCAGTCACCACATTACCCACTCTTACCCCCTCATTCATACTCTTCTTCTCAACTAGTCCCCTTTTTACTGTTATGTAATATGGGTAAGAGGTTATTACAGAAACATAGGCAACTTACTGGTGTGTCATCACTGAGGAAAATCTCGTTCCTTTTCTCATATTTCTCTCAGCGTTATTTCTACCTACTGTTTTTCCTTATAGACAACATACCGTGGAATGGCTTGGATGGCTCAATTGTTAAAGAAACCATAGCCTTGGGAAATTATTTAGAAGCTGACGCCAGGCTTCCGGAACCTTACTATGGTATTGTTAAGTCAGGTATCAGTGCCCAGCAGAAAAGCCGAACAATGAACCTACAAGACATTCGGTATATTCTGAAGAATGACCTGAAGGCAAGCTCTGAAATTGTTTCTGGGCTATCTAATTCATCAAGTTATAGATCAGGAAGCTAGAGTTTTAAAAACTTCTGGAATGGAACACAGTGGTACATGCCTGTGGATGCGGGCACATGGGTTGGGGATGGGGTGTGCTGAAGTAGGATCAGGAGTTTGAGATCAGTCTGGACTTCATAGAGAGTTCATAGAGAGCTGCTGTAGGAGCACATACTATAAGAGTTCAAAGCTGCTGTAGGAGCACATACTATGACTGGGTCTCAAAAAAAATTTAAAAAACACCAAAGTTTTGGAAAGCTTCACTTTACTATATTCTGTTGCTGAGAAAAGCCTGTTTTAACTTAGTGACATCAGAGAATTTAGGAGAGGTGCTGGGGAACTTGTAGGGTATAGTAAAGAATGGCAGAATGAGAATAATAGTAAACTAGCTAATTAGGACCAATAGCCAATCTGTCTAATAAGAGAAAGAGGTAACTGATAGATATAGATGTCAGTATATATATGTATATATATTAGTGTATATATGTATATATATGTTTGTGTGTGTGTACGTATGTATGTGTGTATGTGTGTGTGTGTACGTATGTATGTGTGTATGTGTGTGTGTATATATGTGTGTGTGTGTATATATACACACACACACACACACATATGTAAGTTTCTAAAAACAGAGATGGCATTTTGGATGACTTAAAATGTGTCTTTGACAATGTTTTGTTATAGGAGTTTATTGGAGCTCAGAAAACTCAGCCAACAGAGAGCCCCAGAGTACAGAGAAATGAATCCCATCCTGACGTTAATGTCTATCTAGAACTAACTTCAGAATATCAAAAAGACACTCCAGACTTGGACATCAGAGAGCTAAAAGAAATGGGTATGACTTGAATTCACAGATTAAGCATTTCTTTGATAACAGTGGGATGATTTTGGTGTTTTGTTTTACATTTAAAATTTTTGTGTATATGTGTTAGCACACATGCGGAGATCAGAAGACTGCTTGTGGAAGTCAGTTTTCTCCATTCACCATGTGGGACCTGGGAATCAAACTTGGGTTGTCAGACTTGATGGCAAGTGCCTTTACCTACTGAGCCATCTCAGTGGCTTTTTAAAGAGAGATTTTATTTTATGAGTGTTTTGGATGCATATATCTCTGAGCACCAGTGTCTATACCTGATGCCTATGGAATCTAGAAGAGGTGGCCATATTCTCTGGAACTGGAGTTATATATTGTTGTGAGCTGCTGTTGTGGGTGCTGGGAATTGAACCTGGGTCCTCTGGAAGACAGCCAGTGCTCATAACTGATGAGCCACTTTTCTAGTCCTGTTTTCTGTTTTGGTTTTTGTTTTTGCTTTTGCACAAAGGAAGCCATGAATATAGTCCTTGGTTTCCAGGGGCCTGTAATTTGAATGCTCTGACAGCTAAACACATTTAAAATAGTATAAATGAAGCTTAGAACATTCTTAGGACTAGACCTCAATAGCCTGAAATATCTATCTCATTCAGTGTCAAAATGGGAACTTAAGGTTAGAAATAACTTTTGCTGGCGTGGTGGCTCATGCCTGTAGTCCCAGCACTTTGAGAGGCTGAAGCAGGTGGATCTCTGTGAGTTCAAGTCCAAGACTACACAGAGAAACCCTGTCTTGAAAAACTAAAACAAACAAACAAAAAACAACCTTTATCCTGAGCTGCCTTTAATCCTAGCACTTGGGAGGCTAAAGGAAGAAGCAGTCAGATCTGTGTGAGTTTAAGGCCTGCCTGGTCTACATAATTAGATCATGAGTTCCAGGACAGCCAGGGGTAGGGAGAGAGATCCTGTCTCAAACAACAACAGAAAGAAACATATGTTTATTCTCTGTTGAACGTACCTATTTGTCTTTTGTTAGGATCTTACTCTTCTTAGAAGGGAGTTGGAAAAATAAAAGATGGTTTTTGTGCCTTTTAAAAAATTATTGTTGTGTTTGTTATTTGAGATGGGCTCCCACTATGTGGTTCAGAATGGCTTCAAAGTTGCATCTAACTTGAGAGCCTTCTGCCTTAGCCTCCCAGATGCTATAATTAAAGGTATGTATATTCCACCTGACCCAGCTCATGTTGTACACCTTGAACAATTGCCAAGGCTGCTTACCTTCTATTGTCAGTTTAATCAGTTGGGAATTACCATTTTTTCCAACAGGTAGTCAGTCACCAACAGGTCACTCCTCTCTCACTGACAAAACACCATCAGCTCCTCAGGTCCTGGATTCAAGTCCTTCAGCCCAGGAACCTGAGAACCCAGATGCTCCTTTTCCTCCTGCTTCATGCTTGTCAGAAGGTGTCAGGAGCCCCATTCCAAGTCAGGCCAGCCTCTGCAGCTTTGAAATCAATGAAATCTACTCAGGCTTCCTGAACCTGAGAATTGACAAAGAGGAAGAATGCCCAGGGATTACTTCATCTCCTGAGGGGGATAAACCAAACCAGGTAGATGAACTGCCATCCCTGGAAGAAGAGCTTGATAAGATGGAGAGAGAATTGCATTGTTTTTGTGAGGAGGACCAAAGCTTTTCAGAAGTTGACAGAGAACTTTCCTTTGAGGATGGGGACTGGCAAAGTGACTCATTTAGTTCACTCAGCCTGTCTGAGCCAACCAGAGAAACCAAGGGCAAAATGAGCAGCTGGTCTAAGACTGATGAGGTCGTCAGTAAGATTGTGCTGAATCTAAAGATTTCACAGGTAATGGTGCAACAGAATGCTGAGTGGCTGAAGAAACTTGAGCAGGAAATAAATGAACTTGAGTTGGCACAGAAGGAGCTGGACAATCAGTGCAGGAGTTTGTGGGATGCTTCATTAAGGTTTGCAAATGCCGAGTTCGTATTACCTGTGGGCCCTCCATCTTTGACCTATATTCCTCCTGTTATACAATTATCAGAGCCCAAGCAGTCAGAAAATGGTGGCAATTGGTTGACCCTAGCAAGGTCTCCAGGAAATGAGAGAGACTTCCAAGAGGAACATTTTGGCAAAAAGTCTGAGAAACGAAGTGACTGTGGATGGAAGCCTTTCACACAAGTTTCTGAAGAAAGCAGCGGGGACCAGTCAGAGCCAAACAATCAGGTACATCAAGTGGGAGGAAGGAGCTACTTTAGCAGGGTCCTGGAACCAGTATTCCCTGTGACCTATATGCAGTGCCTCTAAAGAAATGCAGACATCTCAAGGTCCTCTTGATTTAGGAAATAAGGCCACTATGATGAAATTCTATGGTAGAGATTCTCTCTAACCCCCACTCCAAACTAAGCACAAAACCTTGGTCCGTCTCTATAGATTCAAATGTATTAGGTTCAACTATCTGAAATTTCTGTTAGCATTTGACATGGTTCAAAAGTGTATAAGCATTTTGAACAGGTATTTATCCACATTTTAGGGGCTGGCGGTATGGCTCAGTATTTAAGAGTGCTTGCTACTTTTGCAAAGGGCCTGGGTTCATTCCCCAGCACCCACATAAGTCAGCTTACAACCACCCATAACTTAAGTTCCAGGGGATCCAGTGCCTTCCTCTGTACATATATACACTCAGGCTCACACACTTTAAAAAAATTCTCTAAGTTGCTTGTTAAGTTATTTAACAAATATTTATATGGAACTGGGAAGATGGCTCCTCAGGTAAAGTGCCTACCAGACAGGCATGAGAATTTGAGTTTGGTCTCTGGAACTCATATTAAAAAAAAAAAAAAAAAATTCAGTCATGTCAGTATGTGCCAGTAATCCTAGTGCTGGGGAGATAAAGACAGGAGGCTCCCTGGAGCTTGCTGGCCAGTTCAGCTGAAGATGTGAGTTTCAGGTTGAGACAAATGACATATATTGCCTCAAAAAAAAAATAAGGTGGAGAGGCCTAGAGAGATGACTCAGCAGTTAGGAGCACTGGCTGCTCTTCCAGAGAACCCAGGTTCAAATTCCAGCACCTACATGGCAGCTCACAACTATCAGTTACTCCAGTCCCAGGAGCTCAGACCCCTATCTTGGCCTCTTGGCACCAGGCACATCAGTGGTACACAGACATACATACAGTCAAAGCAGCCATACACATTAAATACATATGTATATACATACATACATATATAAACAATTAAAAATAAGGTAGAAATTGATTGAGGAGAATAACCACTGACTGATGCACTCGTGTATGTGCACAGAGAGAGAATAAGTAAATAAAACAAATACTTATAAAGTCAGAGACTATATTAGAACCTAGCATATAATGGTGAATAAGCCAGACTATATCCATTTTTAAACACTTTTGTTTTAACTTAAACACAAGGGTGTGAGGAACCTGCTTTCCAAAGAAGACAGTTAAGTAAAAATAAGCAAGGACTCCTAGGAGCTGGCCTGGAAGTTTTACTTGTAGCTGTTGAGATTGCAGACTGGTTCTGTGTTCCTTTAAGGACATAGTTGAAGTATGTCTCATTCTGTGACCCAGCATCTGGTAACATCAAAGACACTTAATAAACAATCACTGAAGCAGGAGAATGAATGAATACATAAGCTTGAGCGAATGCACAGAGAGATGAGTGCCTCTTGAGTCATACGTCTTGAGAGCTGGAGGACCCCCCAGGCATGGACCAACTCCATACTCTTACAGGGTGTGAAGTTCAAACTCAGTGGCTGGCGTTTCCTGAGGCCTTAAGGTGTTACCAGAAATGGGGTAGTAGGGTAGTCAGGTCTGTTCCCACTGGGAGAAACGGTTTTATTCTGAAATATCAGAATTACTAGCTAGGCTAGCTTTTATTCCATTTTTTGTTTGTTTGTTTGTTTGTTTGTTTTAGATTTTATTTATTTATTTATTTATTTATTTATTTATTTATTTATTTTATGCATATTAGTGCTCTAAGAGGGCAGTAGAGGGTGTAGATGGTTGTGAGCCACCATGTGGGAATTGAACTCAGGACCTCTGGAAGAGCAGACAGTGCTCTTAACTACTGAGCCATTTCTCCAGCCCTATTCCATTTTTTATTGTTAAAATTCTCTGACAGCCGGGCAGTGGCACACACACCTTTAATTTATCACTTTGGAGGCAGACACAGGTAGATCTCTATGAGTTCAAGGCCAGCCTGGTCTACAGAGCGAGTTCCAGGACAACACTACACAGAGAGACTTTGTCTCACAAAAACAAACAAACAAACAAAAAAAAATCCACAATACTTTTTTTTTCTCTACTGACAATGTAATCTTTATGGTTAGTCAGGGCAGATTGCTCTGCCTCATGCCCATTAGCTTGTTGTACTTTTGCTAAGGTCTAACCTGCTTGCTACTCTCCTTCCTCCCCCACCCACCTCTCTAGCTCTGGCTTTTTGTTTTCATTTTGTCTTTTTGAGAGTCTTACTATATAGCTCAGACTTGCCTAGAACTCTTTATATATCCCAGGTTGTCCTTGAACAACAACAACAAAAAAATCCTCTTGCCGTAGCCTTCCAAGAGCTGAGATAGTATGTGCCACTATACATACTCTATGGCTGGCAAGCTGTCTGTCTGTCTGCCTTTCGGGCTGTCCATCTGTCTATCCATCCATCCATCCGTCCATCCATCAATCAAAACATTCACACAGTTTTGTTTATTTCTATTGAAAATTAGAATTTGAAGCTGGGTGTTGGCGCATGCTTGAAATCCTAGCACTGGGAGGCTGATGTAAGAGGATTGTGATTTCAGGCTGGTCTAGGCTACTTATTTTTTATTTTGTTTGCTTTAAGACAGGGTCCCACTATATAGCCTTAGTACTTTCTATGTATACAGGCCTTGGACTCACAGAGATCCTCTTGCCACTGCTTTCCAACTGAGGTTGAAGGTTTGCACCACCACTCCCAATGTGGGTCATTTTTTACTCTGTATGAGCATGCTTTCTAGCATTGTCACAAAACAAGACTTTTTCTGACAAATTCCTTTGACATTTTTTAAAATTAAAGGTGTTAATTTTTAAATTACTTGTGTGTGTGTGCATGCGTACTTGTGCATGCCACGATACACTTGTGAATGTCAGAGAACAGCTCATAGGGATCCATTCTCTCCTTCCACCATGTGGGTCCCCGCAATCAAACTCAGGTTGTCTGGCTGGTGGCAAGTGCCTTTATCTGCTGAGCTGTCATACTCGCCCGGCTTTCCCTTTTGAAACAGGATCTTAGTGTAGCCCAGACCGGCCTCAAGTCCTGCCTCCTCACGCCGACTGCACTCACGGTGACTATAGCAGGCGCTACAACCACGGCTAGTTTATGTGGTTGCTGGTTGGGCTGAGGGCTTTGTGCACGCTGGCCAGACGTACAGAACCCATCATATTTCAGTGGTTTTGAGACAGGGTGTCAGTATGTAGCCCTGGCTGGCCAGGGACTCACTGTGTAGGTCGGACCTACTTCCATTGTAGGTGTTTTCTCTCATTTCTGCGCATCTTGATGCCATTCCAACCTCCAGATTTGTTGGTACAAGCTAGGAAATAATAATTACCTAAGTATGTTAAAGTGAAGTAAAAGTTGGGATAAATAAGTGTGTCTCTTGAATGAAAGACAGGGGCTTTTATTATGTTTTACTATTTCCAAAGTATTGTAACTTCTATTACATTTTATTTTAAGAGCACTCTGTTGATAGGTATTACTTTCTTTTTCTTGATGGTGAAACAGAATTAGAGGACTTTTTTATTTAACTGAGCTCAAGTTTCTGATTTCTATTTTGTCTATTAATTTCTACTTGCAACTCTGTCTGGGCTGGGTTCTTGGACTCCACATTTTTTAGTAAAACCCCTTTAGGTAATAGGTTATTAGGTATGAAACATGCAAAGTAAAATAATCATAATTGGTCTTATTTCTTATAGGCTTAGCAAACATGATTTTGAAAATACACTATGAGGATGAAAAGAATAATTCTCCCCACCCAAAGCACACTGAAACTTGTGGGTTTTTTGTTTTTTGTTTTTTTGTTTTTTTTTTTAAGCTGCCAACTCTTTGTGGTCCTGGGAGGCAGAACACAGGTGGACAAATCCCATTCACTCAAGAAACAAAGGAGAGTTTTGAAAGAAATACAAACCAAAACAGTAGAAGGTGGGTTAATAGTTACTGCTTTTTATATTTATATTTATTTATATTTATATTATATGCCTTAGACCACTTACTGATCTTCAACTGTTAAGTGACAAATGGATTGTGAATAATGAATAAAAACAGTGCAGAAATAGATTGTAATGGAAACTTACAGGAGATATCACAAGCAAAATGTAGATCAGATTGTTATCAAACAAAGCTCTACCTGTCTGTCTTCCAAATTTTAGGATTAAAGGTTATGCCATCATTCTGGATTATATTTAATTTTTAAATATATTTATTTTTATTTTATGAATGTGGGTGTTTTGTCCTGTGTATGTGTGTGTACCACATGTGCAGTACCCTTAGGTTCCCTAGAAATGGAGTTAAAGATGTTCCTTAGACACTGTGTTGCTTCTGGGAACTGAGCCTCGGTGCTCTGCAAGAGTGGTTCTTAACCACTGAGTCACCTCCAGATCTTTTACACTTAGTCTGTGTGTGTGTCCATGTGTGTGTGTCCATGTGTGCACACACTACTACACTGCTTCCCAAGTTAATGAAAATGTAATAAAAATATGCAAAAATACAGCATGGTGGCATGAGTGTAGATCCCAGCATTTTGGAGGTAGAGGCCGTTTACAGCCAGCATGGTCTACATAGTAAGTTCCAGATCAGACAGGTCTACAGCGAGACCCTGTCTAAAACCAAACAAAATAAAAAAGAGGGCTGGAGAAATGGCTCAGTAGTTAAAAAGCACTGGCTGCTCTCATCACAGAGAGCAAGTTCAATTCCCAGCAACCATATGGCAGCTCGTAACTGTCTGTGACTCCAGTGCCATCTTCTGGCCTCTGCAGGCACTGGGCACACATGTGGTGCACAGATATATGTACAGGCAAAACACTCACACATATTAAAAAGATGCTGGAAGTAAGTTATAATGTCACATGCCTGTAATCTCAGCACTACCAGGGTAGATGCCATCCTGGGCTACGTAGTAAGATTCTCTAAAATGCATATATACATATATAGAAATACATATACATGCATACATACATACATACATACATACATACATACATTCTCTAACATATATACATATTCTCTAAAATACATATATACATACAGGTTTTTTTTTCTATATTTTTGGTTAAGTATTTAGGGCAGATTCCCAGGAGCAGAGTTATTAGGTTACAGGCTTTGAACATTTTAAAGATTCTTAATAGTTGTTAATAAAAAGCTCTTGAAAGCAGCTGGTCAGATCTGATCTCTCCTTTCTGGTCCAGTTGGGTAGTAGTGCATTCTGAACAACAAGGATTTCCTAGGTGTGCCACAGATCACAAGCATTTGAAGAGTTATTTTGTTTATCGTTACAAGTGTTGTTATTTGTATTGTATATTATTCTACAGGGTTTCACCATGTAGTCCTGCTGGCCTGGAATTCACAAAGGTCTGCCTACCGTGCCTGTGCCACCACGCCCAGCCTCGAGGAGTTATTTTAATAACTGGCAAAATGGCTGTAATGGTGGGATATTTAGAGGAAGGAAGGTTGCTCTAATTTTCAGATACAGAAGCTTGGTCCAGAGAGACTGACATTTCAGTAATGCAAAACAGGTGTCCTAGCAAACAGAGAAACTCTGTTCTTCAGGTCATATGTGCCTTAAAATCCTTGTTTTACGACCTACTTATTGTGCTGTCACTGATGTGGTTGGCGCCAGAGAACTTTGATAGAAATTCAGAAGCAGAACTTTCGCATGAATTGTCTGTCACTTGTGATTTGTCTCACTTGGGGCAGGTGGAGTTGGTAACAGCAAAGGACAGAGACTGTCAGATGAAACTATTTAAATTGTCAGTTTCTTCTACTTCTGGAAATCTCCCAAGAGTCACGAATTGTGAATTTGGAAATTAATTTTAAAAAAACATGTAGAGATCTTGTAGTCCAGCCTTCTAATTTATTAGCCAGGAAAGGTCTAGGAAGTCAAGGATCCAAGCGAAGAGTTGCTCAGCTGAATCAGTCTCCATGAGTGCACCCTCATGGAGACTGGGGTCACCCTGTCCTCAACTGGGCTCTGCCAGGTAGAGGGCCTTAGTCTGATGATAGGGCATATAGTGCTCTCTGGTGGTAAGGAGGAGTCACTGCATCCCCAGGACTCAGTGGGGAGCACTATGGGTGGGCTGGCGGGGTGGGGGTGGGGGAAGCTTTGAATTCTGTTAGGAACTTGAACAGATTTTATTTGATCTACCTCACTCCTACCCTAAATGATGCAATTTAGGATCAGTATGGACTCTGTGTCTTCAAAAATCTGTAATACAAAGTCAAGAAATAATGAGGATGACAGAGAGGCACGTTTCAAATGGAAAAGTGAGTATGAAGTCATGGGTTTGTTTTTAGTCTTTTTGGGGTTTTGTTTGTTTTTTTTTTTTTGTTTTGTTTTGTTTTGTTTCGAGACAGGGTTTCTCTGTGTAGCTTTGGCTGTCCTGGACTCGCTTTGTATACCAGGCTGGCCTTGAACTCACAGAGATCCACCTGCCTCTGCCTTTCTGAGTGCTGGGATTACAGAATGCACTACTGTGCCTGGCAATGGGCTTGTTTTTCAAAGATAATATTTATTTGTTTGCTTGTTTATTTATTTGAGACAGGATCTCACTATGTAGCTCAGGCTGGCCTTAAATTCCCATTAGTGTTTGGGTTATAGGCATGCACCACCATGCACAGCTGAGGAAGGAATTTTCTAATTCTTGGTTATCATTAGTTTTGTTTGTTTTGTCTTATGGTTCTGGGACTGAACCTCGGGCATTGTATACTGCACAAGCACTCTACAGCCAAGCAACACCACCAGCACTTGTTTGGAATCTCTAAGATATACATAGGTTTCATTGTTCAGAGTCCTAACACTTGTTCCCCCTCACACACACATTTCTCTTCTACAAGGCCATTCTATAATAAAAGCACAGCTCTTCTAATTACACAGTATAGAAGGAAGATGCTTTTCTATTTCAAATTGTAGGAAATAGTTCTGTCATCTGTATAGATGTATATTGTATAACGTAGTAAAATAATACACAGTATATTTACCCCATAAATATTATTAAAATGTAAAAACATGCCATGTTTCTCTCACATATTCTGTAATACCTTTTTGTTATGGCTTACTTAGTGTGTATCCTCAGTGTTAGGAAAGGTTAGGCAGATGGTGACTAAACCATGGAATTTCAGATGTTTTTCTCATTAAGTCACCAAGAAGCTCCATATGCAAGTTCTCTACTGCTTGCTACTAGATTTTAGCAGCATAGGCTATTGTTTTGGGTAATAATATGAGTTTCTGATAGTCTGTCATAGCGATCATTCTCTCCCCTTAAAGGCAAGCAGGAAAGATAAGGATGATGAAACTGTACCAGAACAATTATTGTTACAATATGGTTAAAAATAATTTATCTTTTAAGGTTGAAAACTTCTGTTACTGCTATTTGCAGTGATGTTTTAAATGCTCCTTTCTCTTGTGCCCAGTGGCAGTAAAAGAGATGGCAGAGAAAGCAGTTTCTGGGAAACTCCTAGTGCCTCCTTGGAGTCCTCAGAGTAGTTTGCCTTTTGAGAGGAAGGTTGAAAATGAGAGCATTCGTTTGCCACGGCCCCCAATTAGAGGTCCCAAAAGCACAGCATGGCAGCACGTTGTAGAAAATCAAAGGGAAAACGGTGAGCCACAAGGAAGTAAGAAGTTTGACAAAGTGGACAACAGTGTCTGTGACAAGAACAAGCATAACAGACAGACAGGCCTTCAGAGCTTCACGAGTAAGTTCACTTGGAGGAGTTGGGTTAAGTGATCTGTCTATCAGCTCTCAAAATATGTGCACTTCCAGAATATTCCCTTTGCTTGGTCCTGTCTCCTCTGTTGGTATAATATTCTTGTGGAATGTACCCTTGTTCATTCAAAGCTGATTTCTCTACCCCACTATCTTATTTCAATCCGGACACTGCATTGTGATGCTTATTTTAAGCGTCACCTCTCTCAAGTTTGTGTAAACATGCCACCATTTGTTCTCTATATTGTGAATTAAAACAATCAGCCAGTGCTGTGCAATGGAGAATAGGGTGGGACATCCTAGTCTGGAGTGGAGGAGAAGGAAGCCAGGGGGAAGAGTAGGAGCAGAGGTCGGCAGGAGGGGACTTGGAAACCATGAGGAAAGATGAACCAGACCTAAGATGTGATTAAAAGCAAGTATAATGGGTAGAATCTGAATGGTAGGAAACTATGTGGGCTAGGATGTTTAGGACGGAGTGCTCTAGGTTAATTAAATAAATCCTAGTCTGTGTGTGGTGATTTGCTTACACAGCTGGTTTAGGAATAGGAATAACCGCTGCTTAACCAAAAGATAAATCAATAGTAAATATTAATAACCCACAACACTCTTTTTCTGAGAACCTTATGTTCAAAGGTCTGAAGACATTAGCTAGTTTCCCTATTACTGAAACAAGGTCCCTTTGTCCAAAGTAAGTAAAATAATGCCTGAGTGCTGATCTTGGTCCCGGGTCTAACCTGGTAAGGAATCAAACGTTTCTTACCTGAGGGTGAAGGTAGGCCATCATTTCCTACAGAATGTTTCTTTGTTGTTTTTTTTTTTTTTTCATTTTTATTATTTGTAATTAAAACATAAAATAAAATTAAAATACAAGTGATTGTACTGGAACAACTTCTATGACAGGAAGACTTTTTTTCCTTTTTTATTTTAAATTTTTATTTTTTTATATTAATTACTGTTTATCCCATCTGTAGCCCCCTCCCTCATTCCTTCCCAATCCCACCCTCCATTCCTCATCTCCTCTCTGCCCCTCTCTAAATTCACTGATAGGGGAGGTCCTCCTCCCCTTCCATCTGACCCTAGCTTATCAGGTTTCATCAGGACTGGCTGCAGTGTCCTCTGTGGCTTAGCAAGGCTGCTCCTCCCCGAGTGGGTGGGTGAGGGGAGGTCAAAGAGCCAGCCACTGAGTTCATGTCAGAGACAGTCCCTTGACTCTTTGTTTTTGAGACAGGCCCTTATTGTGTATCCCAGGCTCACCTGGAACTTGCTATCCTGCTCTCTTAGTCTTTTGAGTGCTGGTATTGCAGGTGTATGCCATATCAAGGCTGCTTTTTTTTTCTCTTTGCATTGCATTCTGAACTGGAAATAAACGTATTGTGAGTTCATATGGCATTTACTGTCATCATAATTGTCATCATACAGTTAAATCATCAGATAATTTTGTAGCTGTTGAAGTAAAAAAAAAACATCTAAAATTAACACTTAGATTATAAAAAAATCCATTGGCTTCCTCTCTGTACTATCAGAGAGAGAACAGAATATGAATGCAGAGGATATGGGTCAGTGGGTAACGTACCTGCTGTGCAAGAGTGAAGCTTGAATTCAGATTCCCAGAACCTAGGTAATCTGTAACCCTAGTCCTGGAAACCAAACTGGAGACATAACTCATACAATCTGTGAGTGCCCGGCCTACCGAGAGACTATCTCAAAAGAAAATGTGGAGGGGGATAGAGGAAAATACTCAGCATCCATCTCTGGCCTCTGCATGCACATGTGTGTATCTACATGTGCATGTATATATGTACATATATCACACATACACAAAAAAATAGAAAAGAAAAGCTGCAAAGAGTAGCATACACCTATAATCTCAACCCTTGGGAGATGGAGACAGGAGAATCAGAAGTACAGTTATCCTCAGCTACATAGCAAGTTCAGGCTCTCCTGGGCTACATGAAACCCTGACCTAGAAAACCAGACCAACCAACCAACAACAATAACACAGGAAAATCAATTGCTTGGGTTTTTGCTATTTAGAATCTATTTTTCATCAAGAATTACTATTTGGCCTGGAGAGATGGCTCAGAGATTAAGAACACTGGCTGTACTTCCAAAGGTCCTGAGTTCAATTCCCAGCAACCACTTGGTGGCACATAACCATTTATAGTGAGATCTGGTGCCCTCTTCTGGTGTGCATGCACACATGCAGGAAGAACACTGTATAAATAATAAATAAATCTTTTTTTTTTTCTTAATTGCTATTTGCTGGGCAGTAATGGTGCACGCCTTTAATCCCAGCATTGGGAGGCAGATCTCTAAATTCGAGGCCAGCCTGGTCTACAGAGTGCACTCCAGGACAGCCAGGGCTACACAGAGAAATCCTGTCTCAAAAACAAACAAACAAAACCAACTAAACAAAAACAAACAGTTGCTGTTGAATGGGTGGTAAAAATGGCTGGATGTTCTAGGGCTACATTTTGGGACCAGGCTTAATTAACAGTGCCTACCTATACAACTTAGAGAATTTGGCTGTTCTTTGCAGAATATGTTTACATCTCTATTCTAATGTTACTTTTCCCCTTTTCTTCTACATGAATGTCACTGAATGATCATGTTCCTGATTGTGTCGTGATCACTAGATATTAGATACCCATTCTTCATAGACCATGAGCAGCCAGAGCATAGTGAAGCCTCGCAAGCAAGCTGTGACATGTCTCTGGGTACTGAGAAGTTTTACAGTGTAAGTAATACAGCATGGCAGAACCAAGATGCAGGCAAGGATCTAATAAAGTAGACCTGAGTTGTTGTGTGTTATGTCACCAAAACGTTAACTATGCAAATTACATATACTAACTAACTACACAGGGCTACATTGACTTAGAGAATACTGACAGCATTTAAGGTCAGCCAAGAGCTTGTCTCGAAAAAGCTCTAAAACCAAAAACCTAAAAGGGCTGGGAATACAGATAACTGTTGAGAATGGTGCAGCATAAAAATGTAATAGTGATAAAATGTGAGGTTTCAGAAAACTTGTCATTGTGTATGTGATGGTGCATATGTGTGCCGTGGCAAGGGGACATTTTAGAGTCAGTTCTCCCCTTTCACTTTTGTGTGGGTTCTGGAGATCAAACTTCAGTTTATCAGATTTATGTGGCAAGGGCTTTTACTTACTGAGCTGAGCCATTTCATAAGCCCAAATTGATTTCCTTGGAGAGGCTTATGTCGGGGAATGGGGATGGTTTGAGGAGGCCACGATTGTATGAGGAATTTTGTTTTGACAAGAGAGATGGAAGAGAGTAGCTCTGAAGTGTGTAGGGAGGTTTGGAAGGGTGTGGCAAGAGCAGTGTCCAAGGACATTACCTGCAGTATCCTAAAGGACCTTTGCACGAGCTGGAGAAGAACAGGTGTGTGGCCACACAGTGATCAGGACCCAAGTGTATGAGGAGCTCACTGCTTTTTATAGCTTACTCTTGAGACTGCACTGTCATCTTAAAAACCGGACACCCTCACTTGTCTTTACTCTCAAATTCTAATCAGCCACAGTGTTCTCATGCTGGCATTCCTGCTCAAACAGAAAGGTACCCTGGGACTCCAGGAGCTCAGGAGCCACAGCGCTCTAGGAGGAAGTCTTCTCAGTAGAGGCATGGCAGCCAGGAGGGAGGATATTCTTGGCTGATTGGAGTGCTACCATGTAACAGCTCTACTTCTCTGCTCTGTTTCTCAGCTTTGCAGTTCACAGAGGAAGATAACCTCTGGCTGAGCTCAGGGGCCAGCCCCTTCTTGGCTTCTTTTAATGAGAGTCACACCAAGCAGAAAATCTCATAAAAGAGACTTATTGGTAGGGACAAATCCAGGGTTTGGAGGGACAAATCCAGGGATGGCTGTCACTGCTCCTTGGGAAAAGACAGAGGGAACTGAACAGTAGGCAGAACTTATATAGGATTTCTTAAGGGGAGAGATTTTCAGTGTGAGATTTCAAGTCCTGAGTTTGGGGGAGCTCAGGGATTGGTAGATTTTCCTGTGCAGAGATTTGTGGGATTTTTCTTATAGGGTGGGATCTGGCAATGACAATTACAGCCGTTAGAAAATTACTTAAGGAAGTATTCAAGACAGGGCCTGGGCATGTTCTTGCCTTGGGGGTTTACAAAGTTTACAGAGAGTGAAAGGGTTAGACTAACTTTGTAATCTGTATGTCTTCTAAAGCCTATAGTTTTGAGTTTTAGGTTCAGGTTAAGCTAAAGCCTCTTAGTACCTTTCCAGAGAATGGAAAAATGTGACCCTATCTATGAGGACAGATAGAAAAAAAGGCAAGCAAGCAATGACCTTCACTCAGCAAAAAGAAAAACTCCTGTCTTTGAGATAGCATTTCTTAGCAACGAACCCAGACTTCTTCTGAGTAGCTTTTGACCTGCAGCCAAAAGTCCACAGCCCCTAATCTTCAAGGATGAGCTAACCACCCCCACCTTAAATTGCAGCTGCATCCACACTTGGCAGGACTGGCCAAGCTTGAGCACCTAAGACTAACCAATTATCTTACTTTATAGCTTCCTCATCCAATCCTAAATTGCCAAGACTGCAACTTCAAATCTCCCGCAATTTTTCTTTTAAAAACCTAAAGGCCTTTGTCTCCAGGTGCCACTCTTTGCTGACCGGCAGGGGTGACCCCATTGCACAATGGTTAAAATAATCCTCTTACTTTTGCAATGAGTCGTGGTCTGGGGGAGTTTCTGGGAAGGGCACGATTTTGAACTCCTGAGCTGTGAGACCCCAGGTCTTACAAGCCTTACAGGGAAGGCTTTCCCTGCTGCTTGAGCCAGCACAAATAGCCAACACCTCATGTATAAGACAGCACCAACACATGGAATATATTATACTCCTGAGGGATCAAAGTGTTTCAGTTTGGTCTCATCTTTAATTGCCTGGGTCTACTCTTCTCACTTAGGATTTTAGAGCAGAAAGGTTATTTAATTCCTTTCCCTTTTGCAAATGAAATGTTGAAACTCAGTACTATCATTCCCTTGTACTGTCTTACGCTGTCTCTTCTCTCCAGAAGGGTGAATGTTTAAATAGACAAGGAGAGCCAGCTTAGGGCAGTGTTAGACTCCTGGTTGTTTTGGATAAGCCCATCATTAACATTGCATGCATCCAGCTGTAGAAGAATTTGTTTGCAGTAAATAACAATTTAAAATTCCCCATTGTTAGATCAGTCCGTATGATCTAAAGGGATTAAGTAACCTTTCTGTTCTAAGAAACTAAGACAGAGTAAAGTACTCTTACAGCTGTCTTCGTTGCCTTCATGCACACAGGGGCAGGTGTGTCGAAGTCTGCCAGTGCTCTTAACCTCCGAGCTATATCTCCAGCCCTTGTACTTTTTTCAACCAGCACGCTGCCTGTTTCCTATGTCCTTGCTGTGATGTACATTTGTAAGGGGTGAAGTGCAGTCAGAAAGTTTTAGTGGCAAGAGAATTAGATGTAAAGGTTCAGCAGTAAATATGAGAAACAAACCAAAGTGCTGGGCAGGCCTGGTTTGCAGGGAGAGTGCACACAGGTCCATGTGGAATTGGTAGATGACACCAGCTGCTCCATCATCCGAAATGTCAAAGGCCCTGTTAAGAGGAATCATCCTATTGGAATCAGAAAGAGAGGCTCAGAGGTTGTTCTGATCTTGCTTCTGAGTCCTGCATATCCACCACTTAACCCATGGGATGGCCTGCAGCTGTTAAATAAAGCATTTGCATTATTAAAACAAAAGTGCAAAGTCTCGCTTACGAATTATTGCAAACCAGACCCGCTTACACAGCCAGCCGCCAGGTTGGGAGGCTGAGCCTTGCTAGTCCCCAAAGAGCTTCCTTGCTCTCCCTTCCAGTCACTGCTTTCCCTCAAAGAAATCACCATTCTTGTGTCTCACTTCATTGAAATCTGTATATCAGGCTGTTTTCAATCTCCCTTGCTTTTTCAGATAGACCTCAGATAACCATAGCATCTTGGTTAGAACACTGAACAAGGGAGAGTGGTTGGAAGCAGTGAGGTCACAATGTTCCTCTGCACAGTGGAGTTGGAAGGAGGACTTGTTGAAAGGAACACAGAGCACAGTAGTGTCTGGAAAATGTTCTTTTTCTATACTTCTCAAGGTTTAAGAACATCAAGAGGGCATGCATGAGGCCCAAGTTTTTTTTTTTTTTTGTTTGTTTGTTTAAATAATATTTTTATTAATTATTTGTAAACTTTATACCATGAACCTCTATTACACTGACTTCCCAGTCCTCCTAAGTCTTCCCCTCTTCCCAAAAAGAGGAAGAAGAAAAAGAAAAAAGTCAAATTTGTGTTGCCCATATACTCACTGAGACATGGTCAAGTTCCCATTGAAGGCCCTGGTTTTTATGCCCAGCACTGGAACAACAATACAAAATACCAAATTCTCTTTAATTTTTTTGAAAATGTCTTTGCTTTCACAACCTATTTTCTTTGCTTTTATTTTATAGACCTCAAGTCCCATAGAAGAGGACTTTGAAGGAATCCAGAGTTCTTTTGTGCAGTCTCAAGGCTATGGTAAGCCCTAGGGCAGATCTCTTTGGGAATCCTTTGCCTTCATTTTATGTTGGATTACAGGCGTTTAGGTAGGTGGGTCCTTAGAAATAACCTTGTTCAGGCTCTTGAGTTTCCAGATGAGAAAACCAAGCGAGGCTCAGTGACCTCCCCGCATTAGAACAAATCCTTTATGCACCTGGAAAATGACTCAGCCCTTAAGAGCACTGGATGCTCTTCTAGAAGACCTGGGTCCAGTTCTTAGTACCCACATGGCAGCTTGCAGCTGTCTACAACTCCAGTCCCACGGCATCTGATGCCCTCTTCTGGCCTCCACAGGCACTGCGTGCACTCGGTGCACAGACATAACATGCAGGCAAAACACCCAAACACATAAAAATCAAGATTAAAAATAAAAAGAGTGAATTCTTTCCTCCTCACCAGCCCCCTGGTAGCCACTTATTTTGTTACTTATAACCTTTGTATCTCTGTGGTACATTTGTAAGCAGTGTGCATTCACCGAATTGTAGATCCCTTGATGGCACACAGCAGGTTCACGCTTATTGTTCCTGGGCAACTTGAGGGTTTACATAAGCCGCAGAGCTGGGTTTTTGACAGCACAAAAACTTGAACGTAATTACTGGTTCTTTATTCACCCTAGAAGCCAGAATGCCACCATCGTTTCCCTTTGCTTAGTTTCTTTTATACCCTGTACATACTCAGCTTGTAGTCAATCCCTTGTTACTCCCTCTTATTCTCTCAGGCATTCTCAGTAGTCCCCTTTTCCTATATAGTCCCCCTTCTATTTTCATAACATAAACATTTTTAAACTCTATATTCTGCATATGAGATAAAATACACAGTTTTTATCTTTCTGAGTCAAACTTAGTTTGCTTAATATGATCTTCAAGTCTGTTTTTCTTTTTTTCTTTTTTCTTTAAAGATTTTATTTATTTTCAATGCTCTATGTGCATGTACATCTGCAGGCCAGAAGAGAGCAGTAGAGGGTACAGATGGTTATGAGCCACCATGTGGTTGCTGGGAATTGAACTCAGGACCTCTGGAAGAGCAGACAGAGCTCTTAACCACTGAGCCATCTCTCTGGCAAGTCTGTTTTTCTACAAAAAAAAAAAAAAAAACAATTTTATTCTTTATATCTGAATAAAGCTTCATTATGTATAGACAATACACTTTATTCATTCATCTCTTAATAGCTGTCTAGACTGATTTCATATTTTGACAATTTTATCAATTTGCGTAGTATTGTAAAAAGTTGGTAACAGCCAACTTTGCAGATTTAACTTAATATTCCAGGAATCTTTGGTTCATTTGTCCTTTTTTTTCTCTTTGAAAGCAGATTTAGGATTTTATTAAAGTTATTTTAATACAGACTTAAGCATGAGAGACTCAGAAATAAGACAAACTTAAGAATTACGGATTTAGGCTTGTCAGCGAGAGTCTTTTGTTTAAAACTTCCTTAGTTTTTACATTGATGTCAGAAGATAGTTTGTGGAAGTCAGTTCTCTAATTCCGCTATGTGGATCTTGGGATACTAACTCAGGTTAATAGGCTTGCCAGCAAGTATCTTTACCTTCTGAGCCATTTTTCATATGTTCCCCCTATCTCCTTTAATGACAGAGTTTCACTAGTTAGCCCCCCAAGTTGACTTTCAACTCATGATCTTCCTGCATCAGCCTTCTGAGTACTAGAGTTTCACACTTTTGCCACTGTGCCCAACCAGCAGCCCTTGATTTCTATGTAATCTATAAAGAACTTTCCATTACATAGGAAAATAATGTTGAACCAGCAGGCAGGGGAGTGAACTGTTGGTTCTGCTATAGATGCTTTTAAAAGTTGTATAATGTGCCCTCGTGGCATATGCATCTGTGTATTTTTAATCCAGAGTTAAAGCTAGATCTGGTGCCCAGTGAGTGACCCTGTCTCAAAAAAGGTGGATAGCTCCTGAGAACAACAGCTGAAGTTGACCTCTGGCTTCTTCATGCACATGCAACTATATATACACATAGCAGGAACACACATTCACATGCAAAGCTGGAGATGGTGATATGAAAGTAATAGCAATTAAAAGGCAGTTTGTAGCTTTGTAGAATTTGCCTGTCATGGGTGAGTCCCTGGGTTCAGTTCCTAGTGCTGAAACCCAGCTGTAAGCTTTTAGATGAAATTACCTTCTCAGGATTCAGGATATGTATATTAAAAGGCCCCAGCATTTAGAGACATCCATCTTTTCTTGCAGTCTCTACTCATGATCACTTCCTGTGGGTGTGGTAGGAGTGTTCTGTTAGATGAAGAATGGTAGGACAGATAGAGCAGAAAAGCAGGGCCAGTTGCACACAAACACCTGAAGTATATGAAAATCCCCTTCTTGCAGCCTTTCTCTGTTCCTCCCTCCATTTAGGGCTATCTACCCCTTCCTATTGTAGCAGAAGCACAATGGGATGCCTGCTGGTTCTCTCCCTGTTTTGCCACTGACTCTCTATCGCCTTGTCCAACCTCATGTAAATTATTGTTATTAGTTTATGCTTTCTTGATGTTTGTCTGTTTAAAGGAATGTCACAGGAAGAGGAATCCCAGCCCCAACGTTTCTTTACTAGTTGGGTTTCAGAGGTTCTTCTTGCCTCTGACACTGTTCTGGTGGACCTTCCTGATGCCTACCAGCCACTTGGATGTTAGGAGTGGGATAATCATGAGCATTTGCAGTCAGTCGGCTGCTTTTTCTGTAGGACTATTTAACTATGGAAAGGAAAATGAATACCGGTCTATTTGCCTACAGGCTTGAGAAGCTTCTTACAGAGAACCGGGTAAGGCTAACATCAGACACTTGATACCTAGAAAACAAAAGATTGTCTAGCTGTCTTTTCAGGACTTGCCCACTTTCTGCTCACCTCTCTTTAGACAGTGGTGATAGCTAAGAGGCACCATTTGTTGGCTGTTGGGGAATCCCTAGTTAGTGATCTTTCTTTCAACCGCCTGGAGTTGAGGACCTAATGCAGGGTTTTACTCAAGTGCTCTACCGCTGAGCTAAATCCCTGACCCCAATCACTGTGGACATAGAATCTCAAGTGAACAAACAGTTCTTAGCTTCAGCGCCCCCTGCTGTCTGTTTATAAGAAGAGAGTCAGTTTGCCTTGAAAAGACAAAATAGGATTTGTTTCCAGAAACAACTGTTATATCCAAAAGGCTAGTAAATAGGGTGGTTGTATTCTGAGTGTTGGGATGTAGCTCTCCCCACTGAGCTTGCACATGTACATGGCACGCGTGTGGAGACCCAAAGACAACTCCTAGTTGTTTCTCTCCTGCTACCTTGTGGGGTCCAGAGACCTGATTTAGTCTGTAAAGCTTCCAGCCAAGCGCTTCTGCCTGCTGAGGTATCTTAAAGCCCAACCCAAATGATGATGATCTATTTATTTTTTGAGACAGGGTCTTACTGTGTAGCTATGGCTGTCCTGGAACTCAGTGTAAACCAGGCTAGCCTCAAACTCGGAGATCTGCCTGTCTCTGCCTCTCAAGTGCTGGGATTAAAGTAAAAATACATTTGATTTATCATTTCAGTTGAAGAAAAGTTGCAAATAATGGAAACCTTTGGAAAGAATGCTGAGATTTTTTCCGAGCCTCAGTTCCAAGCTACTCAATGGTATGACTGTAATTTTTCTTATTTAGTTTCAGGCTCAGAAGCAATGTTCATTGGTTAAAGTGATTAGATTTATGTATTGCTTGCCTTCCAGTGCATTACCCTCTATCATACAAATTAGCTCTAAGTAACGTAAAAGTATTAGGACTTGTTCAGCAAAATTTAATGGGTAATGAAAGGAATCATTATTTGCATTCAGATCCTGGCTCTTGACATTCCATCCATATGACTTTGGTTGTAGATCTCTGCTTCTCTGTTGTCACATCTTCAAAAAAGGAATGATAAAGCCAGGCCTGGTAGCATAGGCCTTTAATGCCAGAACTATAAGTTCAAGGCCAGCATGTCTACATAGCAAGATCCAGAACAGGCAAGGATATATGGTGAGAGCTTGTCTCAAAAAAATGAATAAAATTGGGATAATATTGACATAGGAATTAAAGTAATAAGTTAGGTGTTGGTAGTGCTGTACACCTTTAATCCCAGCATTTGGGAGGCAGAGGCAGGTGGATCTCTGTGAATTTGAGACCAGCCTGGTCTACAGAACTAGTTCCAGGACAGCCAGGCTACACAGAGAAACCCTGTCTCAAAAAACTATACACACACACACACACACACACACACACACACACACACACACATATATGTACATACATATGTATATACGTATATACATATATATGTATATATACATATATATATAAACTTCTGAATGTTCTCAAGAAATGAACTCTTAAGTCATCACAAAACATGTGCATGAATATATATAGTAAATTGATTTGTAATACTCCCCAAATGGAAACCCAGATGCCTCACTGTGAATGATAAGACTGTAGTACATCTACACATTGAATACTATGCAGCAGCAAAACGTGCTGGACATGGTACAGGCTCACATTTGTAACTCCAGCACTAGCACTCAGCGGGCAGAGGCAGGAGGGTCTCTGAGTTCAAGGTCAGCCTGGTCTACAGAGAGAAATGAGTGTGTGTAAAGACTTAGGAAAGATTTATTGTGGGATCTGCTTACAGTTATTATCCCTTGAGAACTGAACTTGATGCTTAGGCATTGGTTGAAGTAGAAATGGGTCATTTGTCTTTAGTGTCTCTTCTGGCATTTCTTGGTGCAAACCTCTCTGGGTGCTCTATACTAGGAAACTGTCTTAACAGTTGCTAAAGCCCTTTGCTCCAGTGTCTGCCTCCCAGTAAAGTTCTTGTGCTCTGTTGGCATTCTAAGGAGCTTGTTCTCTGACATATAGACCACCTGGCCTATTTCAGAGCTGGGATTACCCTTTGAGAGTATTTGTCTAATCTGTGAAGAGGAATTGAGACCAGACAGGCCAAAGAACTTGTGCTAGATAGCATTGGAACCAGAATTAGAACCCATACTTTCTACTTCTGAATTTCGTGATTTTTTTTTTCCATTTTCTCTCATACCTAGGCTGGTGAACTGGTACCATGTTAATGTATGTGACTGACAAGGAACTCAATTTCTTACTTTTTTTTCTCACAGTGCTGAAGATGAGCAAGAAGAGACACTAGAGGACCCACCAAAGGAACCAAAAGAGAAAGACATGTATGGCCACCAAAGAGTAGCTAAGGATACTTTTATAGTCTAGTTTTTTTTTTTTATTAATTACACTTTATTCACTTTGTATCCTCCCATAACCCCCTCCCTCCTCCCCTCCCGATCCCACCCTCTCACCCCCGTCTTCACGCATGCCCCTCCCCAAGTCCACTGATAGGGGAGGTCCTCTTCTCCTTCCTTCTGATCTTAGTCTATCAGCTCTCATCAGGAGTGGCTGCATTGTCTTCTTCTGTGGCCTGGTAAGGCTGCTCCCCACCTCAGGAGGAGGTGATAAAGAGCAGGCCAATCAGATTATGTCAGAGGCAGTCCCTTTTCCCATTACTATGTAACCCACTTGGACACTAAACTGCCATGGGCTACATCTGTGCAGGGGTTCTAGGTTATCCATGCACGGTACTTGGTTGGAGTATGAGTCTCTGCGTATAGCCTAGGCTTTATGGAAATACTTCCTTGTTTGTAGGACTCTGTATTCCTTCCATTTATTGCATCTACTACATTTACTACATACCTTTACTACATTTTATTTTATTTGTACTAGTGTTTTGTATGCAAATATGTATATCACTTGTCTATAGTACCCAAGGATGACTTTGGATTCCCCTGGAACTGGAGTTAAAAGTGGTTATGAGCTATCATGTAGGTTCCGGGAATTGAACCTGCTGAGCCATCTCTCTAGCCCTACTTTTAAAGATATTTTTTCCTGTTTTTGCTTGTTTGTTTGTTTGTTTTCTATTTTGTGGGGGTTTTTTGGTTTGTTTGTTCAAGACAGGGTTTCTCTCTGTCACTCTGGCTGTGCTGGAACTCACTCTGTAGACCAGGCTGACCTCAAACTCAGAGATCCACCTGCCTCTGCCTTCCTAGTGCTGGGATCAAAGGTATGTGCCACTACTACCCAGCTTAAAAATACTTAATATTTTCTTTAAGATAGTCTCTAATTTATTGGCAAGTACTGATTTTTATCAAGAACATCCTCTAAAAGCAGAGCAGGACATGGTGGTACATATCTGCAATCCCAACCTTAAGGAGCCTAAAGCAGCAAGATCATAAGCTGAAGGCCAGCTGTGGTTGTGATAAGTTTCACAATAAAAGAAGTTCTTATCAGAAATGCATTATTCTGTTTTTCTAAATATATCAGCAAATATCAGAATTATTTTGTTTTCCCCCCTTTTTTTTCTTTTAAGATTGAGTTCTGCAGCCGGACAGAGTGGTACAGGCCTATAATTTCAGTACTCTGGGCAGCACAGGCAGATTGCTGTGAGTTCAAGGCCAGCCTGGTCGACAAAGCAAGTCCAGGACAGTCAAGGCTACACAGAGAAACCCTGTCTCAAAAATCAAACACAAACAACAACAAAAGATTGAGTCTTGCAATCTAGTTGAGATTGGTTTTGAACTGTGTAGCATAGGATGCTCTTGAAGTCATGGCAGTCCTCCTCCCTTAGCTTCAGAACTGCTGGAAAACACAGTTGCACCACCATGATCAGTGTGCTATTGTTCTTTGTTTCTTAGATCACTGACAGACATTCAAGACTTGTCCAGTATCACCTGTGAACAAGACGGCTATTTTAAAGCAACCTCATTCAAAACACCCAAATTAAAACACGAACCTACTAGTGTCAGCACTCCGCTCAGTCCAGGTAATCACACCCAGGGAGAAATTCACAGGCCCTTCTCATGTGCCCTGGCTGGGAATAAGTCCTATGTCTATTTTCTCCCAGAGTAAAGATGTTTTTTAAGCGTCAGGACAAAACAGTTCTTTCCTGGGCCACCAGGTAGAGATATGGTGTAACGGTGTGACCCTCCCTGCTGGAGGCAGCCTGCTGCACATGGAGGCAAACTGAAACAGTCAATTAAGTTCTCATAGTTAAATAGACATATCTCCCGAGGGTTTTTTTGTTGTTTGTTTGCTTTCTTTTAATATTGGGGATTGAATATTGGACTTTGTGAAACCAGGCAAGTTCTCTACCACTGAAATATCTCCCTAGCACTGTACTTTCTCACAATTTTCTATAAAATGCCACAGGCATGGTAGAGAGAAATTTAGGATTCTTTTCTCTCACCTCTCTCTCTAGTTTAGTAAAACGATAAACAAGTTTTCTTTACCAGTTCACTAAGGCAATAGGTCGTGACCCTGAATTTCCACTGAAAGAGGGTGTTCGTGACAGTGCTGTGGTTAGTGGTGCAGCTAGAAGGTACTGCAGTGCTAGAAACGTTACGGTTTGCAGTCTGCTGTCTACACAAGCACCTTTGGATTAATTGCAGAGGCACTGGATACTGTAAACATTACCTTCTGCCTAGTCCTCCAGTAGCCAGCATCAAATATTTTCTCTTCAGGGCTCTTATTTTTGGTAAATTTGTGGCTTAATTTCCCTTAATTTTATTTTGATACGAAGTTTATATATACATTTTTTTAATGACTCAAGAACCTAGAATATAGAGTTTAGACCTGAGAAGCTGTCTCAGATTCCTGATTGTTTCAGTTATTAGCAATTTGGAAAATTCCTGGCATAGCTATAGTTTTGTGGTTGTTTTGTTTATGATGTAAAGAATTCAGAGACTTAGTGACCTCTTTTCTCCTAGAGTCAATTTCTTCAGCTGCTAGTCACTATGAAGATTGCCTTGAAAATACCACATTTCAAGTTAAAAGAGGATCTACATTTTGTTGGGATGGTCAAGAAGCTATGAGAACTTTGTCTGCCAAATTTATAACTGTCCGAGAGAGAGCTAAGAGCCTGGAATCTCTCCTTGCTTCTTCTAAAACCCTACCTGCAAAATTGGCTGATCCTGTAAGTTTTCCAGTTCTGTTTTAGATGTCTTGAGGTCAGTCATAGGTCTTGTTGAAGCATGGTGCTTCCTTGAGTGCTGGTTGATCTCCCCAAACTGGCAGGAAAACTCAATTTATATTACTGTCCTCATCCACAGGCTCTTCTTTCTTTCTCCTTCATATTGCACTTGTTCAGGCTTTTGAAGAAAACGATGAATTCCTGCATAATACTGCTCATTAAAAACCTTTTGGCTGGCCAGGTGGTGGCAGCACACACCTTTAATCCCGGTACTTGGAGGCAGAGAAGGTGGATCTCTATGAGGTCGAGGCCAGCCTGGTCTACAGAGTAAATTGAAGGACAGCCAGTGTTGTTAAACAGAAAAACCTTGTTTCTACAAACAACCCCCCCCCCCCCCACACACACACACACAAAGAAAGAAAATGGAAAAAACTCTTGGCTGACCCTCTCTATTAGTTTGATTTCTGTTGCTAAGATAAAATGCTGACCAAAAAAGGGAAGGTCAGCTTATAGGTTGTATAGTTCCTCATCCAGGAAACCCAAGGGAGGAACTCAAGGCTATATCCCAGGGATAAGCTCTGAAGCAGAAACTGTGGAGGAACATTGTTGTAGTGACTGCTACTGCTGTAATAAGCACCACGATGAAGGAAACGTATAAAAGGAAGCATTTAAGTTGGGGCCTGCTTACAGTCTCGGGTTAGTGTCTGATCATTATGGCAGGAGCATAGCAGACAGGCATGGTGCTGAAGTGGTAGCTGAGAGCTCACATCCACAAGTTGCAGGCAGAGAGAGCACAAACTGGGCCTGGCTTGGGCTTTTGGAACCTTAAAGTCCGCCCTCAGTGACATTCTTCAGTAAGGCCACATCTTTTTTTTTTTTTTCCTTTTTTATTAATTACCATTTATTCACTTTGTATCCCAGCTGTAACCCCCTCCCTTGTCCCCTCCCAACCCTACCCTCTCTTCTTCTTCTCCTCCCATGCCCCTCTCCTAGTCTACTGATAGGGGAGTTCCTCCTCCCCTTCCATCTGACCCTAAGGGCCACATCTTTTAATCCTTCCTGAAAATAAGTCCGGCAGCTAGAAATGAGATATTCAAATATATGAACCCACAGTAACCATTCTCATGTAGATCACCACACTTGTTTACTGGCTTTCACTTCTGGCTTGTTCAACTACTCTTCTTACACGTCTAAGCCACCTGCCTAGGGATGGCACAGCCCACAGTGGTCTGCGACTTCCTATACCAGTTAGCAATTAAGAAAATGCTCACATCCCTAGAGGCAAATCTGATGGCAGTTCTTCAAGTGAGGCTCCCTTTTGCTAGGTCTGTCAAGTTGACAACTAAAGCTAACCATGACACCATCCATGAACAAACTGGTTGTTTTCTTTAGTACTTAATGGAAAATTGATTGTAAATGGTTTTTGAACTGTGTCTCATAAAAGTTCCTGTTACCTGGGTAGATTCTAAGTGCCATGAGCCTTATCCAAACCTGAATAAGAAAGATGGGGCCTTTCTTAAAGTTAGCAGTAGCTTAGTGAGGAAGACAGGCCCAGTGTGATTGCCAAGTGCTCAGCAGAAAGAGAGTTGAGAGGGCTTCTCAAAAGAGGTGACTTGCTGAATTTCTGACATACTGTCCAAAAGAAATGGAAATGACTGCCTTAGATGTGTTTTTTACGCAGTGGACACAGTGGTTACCACGCTTTTATGTCTTATTTTTATAGAAAAAATGTGTGTACACTGGGACTGGTTCTTTTAACATTTCTGCAGCATCTGTGACAGCAACCCATGCTACCCAAAGGATGAGCCTACCTGGAGGTACCCTGTGTTTAATATCAAAGCAATTCATAAGAGTAAGGTAGTTTAAGGAGGCTTAGGTTGATGTTCATCAGTAGTTGATGTGACATTTGGTTTAAACAAAAACATTATTTTTCTTTGATTATGAAAGTAAAAAATTCATTTAGAAAACTTGGTGAATAAAGAAAAGTTTAAGAAACAAAATGACCAGATAATCATACCACAGCTTGCTGTGTTGTACATTTTGTGCATTATCTTGTTTCATAGTTTTATAAATATATAACAAATACTTTAGTATTTGTGACTGTGTCATACATCAGTTCTAGACTATGTTTCTCCGTAATATGCTCAGCATCCTTACCTGGTAGTTACATATCTATGGATTCAGCCAGTGGCAGATGAAAAGTATTTTAAAAAAATTACGTCTACTTTATTGAACATGTATAGCTGCTTTGCCTTATCTTTCTTCCCTGACTAAACAGTGTAACATGTAAGTTATTTACATAGCATTTATATTATATTATATATTATAAGCCATCAAATACTGTGCTACTTTGTATAAGAAACTTAAGTACCCATGGATTTTGGTACTGCCAGGCTGAGGGATTTGGAATACTTCCTTATAAACACCAAAGGCTAATCGTATTTTGATCATTTCCTATTGTAATTAAGAATTGATATATGATAAATATATAAAAAATATATTTAAGAATGGTAATAAATATATACTAGTAATAGTCTATAGTAGCTATTATAGTAGTACATTCTATATATGTTGTTTAATTCTCTTATTTGAAAATTTATATTGTTTTCCAAGTTTTGCCCTTTGTACCTAAGTCTTATTTGGACCTCTTATCCTTTCTTTAGGGTAGATAGTTTTCAAATCACACAAAAATGCTAGAAACTTTGAGAGCACATTGCTTTTATTGTTGCAGTAATTTCAGTGTTTAAGACCTTGGCTATAGCTTTTGGAGTTTCTCTCCAGGGAAGAGCAATTCTGTATGCTACATTGAAGGGTTTGTTATATATAATTGAGCACTTGGGAGAAGACCCAAGTTGCTTTTATATCTCCTGGCCTGATAATCATCCTGCTTTGTGTTTTTATTCATTCTGGCTGGTCCGCAGCCTGTGTTTCTCCAACAGTCTGCTCCAGAGCATCCCCATGCTCTGAGTAAGAATTTGTACCCTATCTGATTCAAGTATCCTTAGGAAGAGAGAAGGAAAGATTGGGTAAGTGGGATGAAAGTGGAGAGTAAAGGCCATCTGTATATCAAGGAAGCATTTATATATTAAAGAAGCCTCCACTAAATACGTTAGATGCTCTCATATTCCTAAGATATTTCATCACTGAGGAAGCCTGAAGTCCATGGAAAGCTGCCATTCAGGTCTAAGAGGGTGTTAAGTCATTTTCCCCTTCATCTTTTCTAAGAACTAGTGGAAGCCACCTCTCAGCATCATTTTGATGAGCTTCCACCACCAGCTCAGGAACTACTTGATGAAATTGGTAAGAGGTGTTCAATAAAAAATATATTCCTTGACCCCTGTTGATTATGGTCACTGACTATAATATGGTTTCTGTTTCTTAGGTATCAGAACTAGTACAAAAAACCCTATGAAGGTGTGGTTGAATGTACAAAGTCAGGAAGGGACAGTTTTCAAATCAAGTAGGCTACAGTGTAGCCAGGATAATTGACTCATATATTTTGTCATTTATTACTAAAGGGTTTATGGGAAAGAGTCTGAGGTAAAGTAAAAACATTCATATGTTTTATGGTGATGAACTAATTTTATTTTTCTGAGGTTTTTGTTTTATTTTGTTTTTATTTTTTTGGGATAAGTTCTTGCTGTGTAGCTCAGGCCAGTCTAGAGTTTACTTCATAGACAAGCTGGCCTTAAATTCTCAGCCTTTCTGCCTCAGTCTCCAAGTGTCCCACCATGTTTAGATTACAAACTCCTTTGATTAAAACAATTGTTAGTCTCCCTTTCAGTCCAAACCAGATAACCCTTGGAAGCCCGTAGTCCTTATCTTTAGAGGGTCCATCTCCTCCTTGGATCTATGATGGTCCAGATCTTGGTATCGGGCTTACAGAGAATTTGTCAAGGGGCACCAGCTGTTTTTCAGGATCTCTGAAGTCCTGTGAATCATAAGGAATAAAGACTTAATGCTCTGACTCAAAGCACAGCCATCCGGGCTCCTTAGCATAACCTTTAATGCCTGTCCTTTGACCTAATGAACTTGGATTATTGTAGTATTATCACTTTTTTGTTTGTTTTTGAAAGGACCTCTAGGGAGTAGTCAGGATCTATCTCCTGATTTTCTGATTTCTTAATGTGGAGGTTTCATATCCAGAGGTCTAGGCTCCTAACGGGAGCCCTAAAGGAAAAGGTCTTTTATAATTCAGGGTACAGGGGATCATTTAAGAGCAACAAGGGACTGATGAGGGTAAAATCTGATTTACATGTCTTACAGGTCTTCTTGCTGCTCAAAAACTGCTATCAGGTAGCAGTTTGCTAAGCTTAGGAAGGGAGCAGACTAGAGCTGCATAGACATAACTCACCTTCTCCTCACAGTGAGTGTAGGGGTGCCTAGCTGTCTCTCTGTTTTGTTCTGAAGAGCATTTTGAAAGAAACCAGCACCTAACAAGTAGAGAGCAGTCAGTGAGTTTTAGCACAGTCTTTTCTTGGTCTAGTGAGCATTTTGAAAGAAAGTGGAAAGGAAGGATATTCATGGAAAAATCATGACATAGGCCAGTGGAGCTGGACTCTGGTGGAGCTCTGGTACTGAAAGTCGTATAAAATCAAGATTAGTGGGCTGGAGAGGCAGCTCAGCAGTTAAGGGCACTTACTGCTCATGCGGAGCACCTGGGTGTGGGTCTCTGCACCTACATGGTGGCTTACAACCATCTGTAACTGGGCTTGGTGGTGCGCGCCTTTAATCTCGGCACTTTGGAAGCAGAAGCAGGCAGGTCTTTGTGAGTTCGAGGCCAGCCTCATCTACAGAGTGAGTCCAGGACATCCAGGGCTACACAGAGAAACCCTATCTCAAAACAAATCAACTCATCTGTAAAACTCAGTTCCAGGGATCTGAAAGCCCTCTCATGACCTTCACGGATACAAGGCATGTATGTGCTACATACATTCATACATACTCATACAAATAAAATTTGAAATCTTTAAATTTGTTTTTAAAATCAAAGTTAGGAGCATAAACTTTAGAGCTAAGATTTCCTGGACTCAATCTCAGTTCTCCTGCTTACTCTTTTTGATTTATGAATGTTTCTTAACCATGCAAGCCTTCTCGTCACTTCTCCCATTCAGTAGCTGCATTCCCAGGCTCCTCCTCAGCTTTGGTCTCAGTATTGTTCCTCATCTGAAAAACAGAAATAAAAATAATATAACCAATATCATAGGACTGTTTTTAAGATTATGAACATTAATCTTGAATTAATGTCCTAAATATTTAATACCTGCCATATAGGCCTCTGGGCTGCCTTTCTTTGTCATTTTCATCATCATCCTTCTTGAGTAGTTTTAGTTGTTACTGTTTGTAGAATGGGTCTGACTATCTAGTTCTGACTGGCCTGAAACTGTTGTGCTCATTTTTAAACTTTATTTTATTTGGGGTATTAAGCCTCTACCTCCCTTCCACCAACCCTTTAACCCTAGGTAAGAGAGAGGTTAGTGGGGAAGAGGGGGCCACACACCCCTTTACTTCTCCTGGCTGTTTAGGGTCAATGGGTTCTTTTGGGGCCATACCAATCTCTGCCAACAGCAAACACAGCAAGCAGCCTCCTCCAGGCAGCTGTAGAGAAACATTTTTTTTTTTTTTTCTCCTCCAAGCCACCACAGCTTCCATCTCTGATTTCTCCAAACTGCCATACCTTCTCTTTCTGGGCTTTCATATTTCTATCTCTCAGAGTCCTAGACCACGCCCCTCTTCTTGCTGACAAAGCTGTTACTAGCTGGCAGAGACCACACCCCTCAAGAGACAGTTATCAGCTGTGGGCAAACTAAAGCCTAAACTAAAATCCCACATTTGGGATTAAAACAAAAAAATATATTTACATAACATAGATGAGTTTTTAAAGAAACCAAAAGTTTGCATTGTATGGAAACCAAAGTTCCCATATATGAAACTCATAGAAATGTTGCCTAAGTGCTGGCTCCTTTTATTTCCTTCCTTTTTTCCTTCTTTCTTTCTTCTTAGCATCTTTACATTTGTTTGTTGTGTTTGTATACATAAATGCTCATTCCATAAGAGGACAACCTGAAGGAGTTGTTTCTCCCTCAACCCTATGGATCCTGGAAATCAAATTGAGGTCATCTTGTGTGGAGGCAAGTACCTTAATCCACAGAACCATCTTGCTAGCCCTTTGTTTGCTTGTTGGTTGGTCGGTTGTTACTACTTTTTGAGACAAAGTTTTGTTTAATACAGCCTAGGTGAACTCTATGTATGTAGCCGAGGCTGACCTCGACAAGTTTCTACCTTCACCTCCCAAATCCTGGAGTTAATAGATATGCACCACATATCTCCTAATGTTTTGTTTTGAGACTGAGTCTCACTCTGCAGTCCTGGCTAGCCTAGAACTTGCTATGTAGTTCAAACTGGTCTCAAACTTAGAGAAGTTTTCCTGCTTGTGCCTCCTTAGTCCTGAGATTGTAGGCATGTGCCACCATACCTATCTATCCTTTAAAGATTCTTTATCAAGTGTTATTTGAGGCTTTCTTTCTTGAAAAATTCACTTTGAACTCAGAATGTACTAAAGTAGTGGCTTTCAAACTTTTCAGGATCAGGGTCACCTAGCAATACGACTGAGTTAAATTGCAGGAGTTTCAGATTTAGTAGGTTTGGAGTTTACCAACAGTGCTGGTTCTGAGGCCTGCCCCTGAGAGCCACTGTCCTAGAACATGGTGAGACATGGAAAGGTGGGGTAAGTTGCCTTTTGCTTTTGTACTGTGACAGAGCATCTGAAGCAGCAGCAGGGCTCCTCCATGGTGTCACATGAGAACACAGCACATGATCTGAGTGTCACTGAAAGTGGTAAGCCGATACCCAGGTCTTTTTTCATGAGGTTTTTGTGTAATGCTGCCCTTAATAGCATAGTAGTATGTGTGGGAGAATGTGACTTAGGTTGGGTAAAATTCCATTTTAATTCTGATTCTACCAGTTACTTTTGTCTGACAAACTGTTTCATTTCTGAACTTCATCTATCCTTATCTGTGAAATGGGAACCATAGTTCCTATCTCATGATGCATAATAGCTCCGTGCAAAGAGCTTGGTACACTAAAATACTTAGCAAAATTTAGACCTCTTCTTTCATAGGTCTGCTGGCCAGATAAAGGAGACAGTATTTGTAAAATGCTTGGCATACATTAAAGAGTACATCCTTATCCCACACAAATTCCTTTCAAGAACTTGTACCCTAGGAGCATCTAAAAAGCAAGAAAGGGAAGCGTGTTCTGAAGTACAGTTGTGTGGCTTATTTTTAGAGTTGCTCGCCTCCGCTTTTGTGTGCCTTCTTTGCTTTGTTTTGCTTTGTCTAGTTCTCTGAGCTTGGCACTGTCTAGGCTTCCTATATAGCTTCACTGGCACCACAGATCGCCCAAGACCGTAAAAGAAGCTGCTATGAACGCTGGTGCCCTGCAGACTGCCACCTAGCCCTCTGCTCTCATGGGAAAGGGGCTGATGCATTGCATACTAGCAGAACTACTGATGGCCTTAGTTTTTACAGTTCATTTCAAAGCATGTTCTCAACTAGTTTTCATTTTAATAAAGTTAGCTCTCTCAGTTGCTTTAGGTAAAAAGCATTTGGAAGAACAAGAAACCAACAGTAGTAAAGAAGGCAGTTTTCTTTCCACCAAAGAAATTCAGGATCTGGAAGATACGGAGAGGTAATAGCATCTAGACTTCTGAAAGGATTTTAAAATTGCATTTGTTTTTATCATATGAACAAATAATAAGAAACAAAACAATAATTTCTTTATTCTTCTTATATTGTTTTGTATTAACATGTTGATTATATATAATAGGTCTCATTCATGTAGACTTTTATCTAATTCACCTTCTACTACCCTCTTCTGTCCCGCTCTCTTTCACTCTCACTAGTTCCCTGTTACGTGCATGTCATTTTTGGAGGGTGTGTGCCCTAACACGTGTCATTAGGTGAGGGATTATTTATAGGAATTCGAACACTTGACCAGGCCACACCACTGAGGAACATGTCTCTAGTTGCCCAGCAGTCATTAACTGTCTGTAGATTCTCCGGGCTAGATGGGGCTTGTGAGAGAATGAGAATCTGCCCGCCCGCCTGTGTCTTTCCAGCTCCTCATTACATTTTGGTCTTATTAGCACTCCCCTACTGCCTTCCTTTATCTGTCTTCCCCACC